AGCTAAGCTTATGAAGAAGTTGCCAGTGCAGCTGCACTTGGAAAAACTGACTACCTTTTCTAAGCTGGTATTACTCATTAACTGTCAAAAAGAACGTCAGGTTAAGTGGAAGGAGAGCTACTACCAGATGAACCAGAGATTGTATTACAAAACCACCCCACCTAGGGACACCTGGGTGGCTCAGTCCCGGAGTCCCGGGATTGAGTCTCACATCGGGCTTCCTGCATGAAGCCTGTTTCTCCCTCTGCCTAAGTCTCTACCTTCTCTCTGCTTCTCATGAATAAATAAATAAAATCTAAAAAAATAAAAAACCACCCCACCTATGGAACCACCTTATATCACCTTTTGGAACTTTAGTAGCTAAGCTTTTTAGGGGAAGCATAAGACCCCAACAAGTACTCATTTTAAAAGGTACAATGTGAGAGATGTCCACAGGATATTATGGGAACACAGAAGATTCAGTACTTTTTTTTTTTTTTTAAAGAGAAAGAGATTGAAAACAGCAATATATTTGTTTTACCTCATCGAGATCTTTGGTCTCTCTGCCCAATTCATCATCATCTTCATCAGAATCAAGCTCTGGTCCAATATAATTCCCAAACTCATCATACAAGTCAGTATCCATGATGCTAAAATTCAAGGAAATGAGGCATTAGATTCTGACGAGGTAACTGAAGCTTCTACCCACAGCCCCCGTTTCTAACCTTATGGCTGACCATATCCCTTCACACATCTCTTCAGCTGGACCAATCTACTGACTGCTCCTCCCAAGGCCCTGTACTTTCCCCTCCTCACTGTTTTACCTGTTGTCCCTGTTTACATTTTCTCCCACTCTTATAATACTAAAAAAATTTTAACTTAAAATACCGAGAAGTTGCAAAGTAGCACAAATAATTTTCTTTTTCCTAAATTACTTGAGGAGAAGTTGCTGACACAATGCTTCATCACTCCCTAATACTTGAATGCAGGAGTTGGCAAACTATGGCCTGTGGCCAATCTGGCCTGCTGTCTGTTTTCATACAGCCCCCAAGCTAGAAATGCTTTTTACATTTTTAAATAGTTAAAAAATATCAAAAGAATATTTCATGATAAGTGCAAATTACATAAAATTCAAATTTCAGTGTCTATAAAAACAGCTTTATTGGAACACTGCCAGGCTCATTCATTTATAATGTCTATGGCTGCTTTCACACTGTTACAGCAAAGTTGAGTAGCTACAACAGAGACCATATGGCCCACAAAGCCTAAAATATTTACTATCTGGCCCTTGATAGAAAAAGTTTGCCAACCTCTGCTTTAATGTGTATGATTCCTACAAACAAGGACATTTTCCCACAAACCGGAACACAACAATCAAAATCAGAAAATTAATAGTGATGCATTACTACTACCTAATCCACAGACTTCCATTATTAGAACAAACTGGGGTTTTTTTGTTTGTTTGTTTTTTAAGTAGGCTCCAAGTGTCCAGTGTGGAGCCTAAAGCCCAGCTTGAACTCATGACCCTGAGATAAAGACATGAGCTGAGACCAAGAGTCGGACACTTAACAGATGGGGCCACCCAGGTACCCCCAGAATGAACTGTTCTAACAATGTCCTGCACAGCAAGGATCCAATCCAGGATGACATGTTTGCATTTAACAGTCATGTGTTTAGTCTCCTATACTCAGGAACAGCTCCTCAGTCTCTCCTTGACTTTTACAATGTGACACTTTTGAAGATTACAGGCTATTGATTTTTGTAAAATGTCCCCGTAATTTGGGTTTGTCTGATGTTTTCTCATGATTGGAGTCAGGTTTTACATCATGGGCAGGAATATCTCAGAAGTAATGGGGTGTCCTTTTCAGTGCATCTCCTATTAAGTGGTACATGGTTTTAATCTATCCCTTTAGTAATGATGTTAATTTAATCACTTGATTATGGTGGTGTCTGCCAGGCTTTTCCAAAGTTACTTGCTTTTTTTTTTTTGTAATTGATAAGTATTCTGTGGGTTCTCTCCACTTCAATTACTGAAATTCTATTCAAGTAACAATTCAAATGCCATCTCTTTAAGCTTTTCTAGATCCTTAGTTTCTCACTCCCCTACACTGCTATAACCTTTTGTATCTTTTTTTTTAAAGATTTTATCTATCTATCTATCTATCTATCTATCTATTTATTTATTTATTCATTCATTCATTCATGAGAGACGCAGTGAGAGAGAGAGAGAGAGAGAGAGAGGCAGAGACACAGGCAGAGGGAGAAGCAGGCCCCATGCAGGGAGCCTGATGTGGGACTTGATCCCAGGTCCCCAGGATCAGGCCCTGGGCTGAAGGCGGTGCTAAACCCCTGAGCCACCAGGGCTGCCCAGCCTTTTGTATCTTAATCAGCATTTAATTCTGCCTTGAATGGCAGTTAACTAATTACCCTCCCCAACAACTGTACAGTTTATAAGTAATAACAGATCAGAGGCAGAGTAAGGGTACGGCTCTGGAGTTGAAAGGCCTAGACTTGTTTTGTTTTTGTTTTTAAAGATTTTATTTATTTATTTGAGAGAGGGAGAGCGCACATGAATTGAGGGAGGGGCAGAGGGAGAGCAGGGAGACTGACTTGGAGCTCCATCCTGGGATCCCAGGATCATGACCTGAACTGAAGGCAGACGCTTAACCGACTGAGCCACACAGGTGCCCTGAAAGACCCAGATCTGAATCCTAACTTTGTCACTTACTATGTACTTTCAGGTATGTTACTTCACATCTCCAAATCTATTTCCTCAACTGGAAAATGGAGTGAGTAATCCCCATTGCATAAAAAGTTATGAGATTTAAAACAGTCTATGTAAACAATTTATCACAGTCCCAGGCTCAGTAAATGTTAGGAAGCATTATTTTTTGACCATTCTTGAATACAGGAACTCTGTGTTCCTTGTGCCTACTTGCCAATGCCCAATATAGTACCTTGCATAGGAAGGAGCTGGATAAATGTTAACTGAATGGAATATTTAATTTTGAGATAGTGATATTTAACTCAAGTAAAGGACTAGCTCTAAGGACTTAAATGTAAATTATTATGGTAACTTTCATTTGCAGAGATTCTTTTTACTTCCCAAGAGCTATCAACATCTGTGCTCGTTTTATTCTCCCAAGATCCATGAAGTGACTGCACACATTTTTATAAAAGGCAGCTTGTAACAAAGCAAGCTCATTTCTGCTCCAGGGCCACTGCTCTTGAAATTCCCTTCCAAAGGGCCCCTGGGTGGCTTAGTCAGTTAAACATCTACCTTCTTCTGGGTTCGTGGTCTCAGGGTCCTGGGATTGAGCCCCCTATCCTGCTCCCTGCTTGGCAGGGAGTCTGCTTCTCCTTCTCCCTCTGCTCCTCCCCCAGCTCCTGCTCAAACTCTCTCTCTCAAATAAATTTAAAAAAATTCTCTTCGGAAATGCTCTTCCTGGGATTCCTGAGTGGCTCAGTGGGTAAGTGCCTACCTTTGGCTCAGATTGTGATCCCAGAGTCCTGGGATTGAGTCCCACATCAGGCTCCCTGCAGGCAGCCTGCTTCTCCCTCTGCCTTTGTCTCTCTCATTAATAAATAAATAAAATCTTAAAAAAAAAAAAAAGGAAATGCTCTTCCCATGGATATATTTATACCTTGTTACTTCATTTCACTCAGGTCCCTACTAAAATGTCACCGGAGAATGTAACTCTAAAATAGTCCCTACTACACACACTTTCCAACCCCCACTTTCACTGTTGTTTTTTTTTTTTTTAAGAATTTATTTATTTATTTATGATAGTGAGAGAGAGAGGCAGAGAGGCAGAGACATAGGCAGAGGGAGAAGCAGGCTCCACGCACCGGGAGCCCGACGTGGGATTCGATCCCGGGTCTCCAGGATCGCGCCCTGGGCCAAAGGCAGGCGCCAAACCGCTACGCCACCCAGGGATCCCAGATTTTATTTATTTATTCATGAGAGAGAGACATAGGCAGAGGGAGAAGCAGGTTCCTCGCTGAGGGGGACTGACCCCGGGACCACGACCTGAGCCAAGGGCAGACAGATGCTCAACCAAGGAGCCACCCAGGCGTCCCTACTCTCACCGTTTTATTATTATTTTTACTAGTAGTACTAGACCCTCGTTCACATATTCAGGTCATTTTCACTGTCATTTCCCCAACTAAAATTTAAGCAAGGACTTTTTTTCACTTAGAACTACGCTGGTACAAAATGAGACCTCCATAAGTATTTGCTGAATGAATGATTCCAACAGCGCACAGAGAAGATAGCAGACCTGTCAACAGCTGCACAAAACTAGTGACCAAACCTCACTGCAACTTCCCGCTATAACGCAGGCTCTCAAACGAATACACAATAAAGACGAAAGGAGCTCGGTAAAGAAGGGGTGAAGAACGCACAGATGGAAGAGGGAGTAAGACAACGACCTCTGTCCAGGGAAGGGGTTTTTACGGACGGTCAACATTTATGCCCTCCCTCCCCACGCTCCCGGAATAGAGGTAAGTGCTGTCTTTCCTTTCCCGCTCCACGCCTCAGTTTACCCATCTACAAAGTGAAAGGGGCAGAAAGTCTACAATGTCTCTTCCAGACTGGACATTACTTCCCATCCCGCCCGGAGCAACATTCTCCGCCGTTGACCCACGCGCCAGCTCACCTGCCGCCCGCTCGGCCTAAAGCTCCAAGTCCGCCGCCCGAGACCGCGCTTCCGCCCCACGCCGCCGCACCGCTGCGCCCGCCGAACGGAAGGACCCCGCAGACGCCGCCGTCGCGTTGCTGCCCCGAGACAGCCCTCTGCCTGAGGACCGGCTAGGAGGAATGCCGGCCGCGGCGGATCCAGGAACCGGCGACGTGGAGTCGTAGGCCCCGAAGCCAAGGTGTGGGCTGCTCCAAAGAGACGGACGCCTGAGGAGGCACGAATCTGGTCAGGCGCCTCGAAGCCACCCTGAAAGGGGGGCCTTCGGGATGATCACGTGGTCAGGCTGCTGGAGCAGTTGCTGAGCAACCATGGCTGCTGGGCGTGGTCTACGCCGAGCCGTGCCGTTCTGGCGGTGTAACTGAGTATTCTCAAGGAAAGCAAGGAAATCTAGGCCTGAGGTCCTGGGGTGAAGGGCTGGGGGGCGGAGGGTTAGTTGTTCTCTCTCATCAATGACTGGGGAGGGCTCAGAACTGGACAGGAGCCGGGACACCTGAGTTCAGTTCCCGGCCTACCCAGCCCCTCCCCCTCCTGGCCTACCGCGCTGGGGTAGAGGGAAAAGGCTCTATGAGGTTGCTAGCAGACCTCTTGCTTCCCTGCCCTGTTGATGATGACACCACCACAAAATCTAGGTCAACGCACCGAAAGTCTGAGGTTCAGAGAGGTCTCATAGCAAGTAAATGCCAGAGCCACTTCTAAAACCTGCATAGATGATTTCCCTGTAGAAAAGATCAATCAGCCTCACATGCAGAGGTCGCAAGTACCGGGGCAGAACTAAAGCCATTGCTCAAGTGACCTGTGCTCCAATTTGTCTGAACAGAGGGATCATTGAGCCCCTTCTCTGCCACTTCTGCGTGATTTCGTACTTAGTCCTTGCATCTGGTTTGGGTGAAAACTATCATTCCCCATGACAAAATTTAAATGATGGGTGAAATTTCATCCCTCGGCTCAGGAGCATAGTTAACAGTAGTTCTGCTTTTGTGGAAGGTCCTTTGTCATAGCTCCTCACTATAGAGTGAGCCCATGTGGAAGAGAGAAGGGACTTAGTTCCAAGATCCAAATGTCGCCTCAGTGGAAGCTCCAAAACTGAAATGCTTTCAGAGGCAGAGAACAAAATTACCACTGGAAGCCGAACTGCAAGTCAGAACTCTGTGTTCTATTTCCAGTGACAAGTCTTAAGCAACTCCTCACTGTGCAACTCAGCTCCCCTCAATAAAGTAGTGGAGAATTAGATTGTTGTAACACCCTCCAAAATAAGTAGAAAGATATTCATAGTGCTTTGGGATCATTTTGCAGGCTGGCAAAAAATGCAGACACGTCCTTCCCCCTGATACATGTCATCCACAGATGTCCATTCCCTTTGCCTTCCTAGAAACAGGCCATGGAAAGGAATGACATCATTGACTTCAAGGCCTTGGAGAAAGAGCTGCAGGCTGCGCTCACCGCTGATGAGAAATACAAACGGGAGAATGCTGCCAAGTTACGGGCAGTGGAACAAAAGGTGGCTTCCTATGAGGAATTCAGGTTGGCTTAATGCTGTTTTTCTCAGACCCTCCCATTACAATGGATGATACTGGGTAAGAGCATGTGCTTTGAAGTCAGACAATTCTAGTGTCAGTGCTGGCCCTGCCTTCTGCTACCTGTGTGATTTATTTTTCTTTAAGATTTTATTCATTTATTCATGAGAGACACATAGAGAGAAGCAGAGACATAGGCAGAGGGAGAAGCAGGCTCCTTGCAGGGAGCCTGATGCAGAACTCGATCCTAGGACCCCAGGATCGCGACCTGAGCCACCCAGGTGCCCCTACCTGTGTGATCTTATGCAAGTTATTTAACCTCTTGAAGCTTCTGTTCCTCGTGTGTAAAAGAGAATAACCTATTTTACAATTAAATAAATTATTACATGTAAGATTTCAAGCACGATATCTGGCACATGGGGGTGCTCAAAAACTGTCAGCCACTGTTGCTGTTAGGTTTCGCTGGTAGGTTTCACCTCTGTTAGGCAAAGTCCAGCCACCTCACATCCACAGATAGCAATAAGACTATGCTCCACTCTGTCCTTTGCCCACAGGGGTATTGTCCTTGCATCACATCTGAAGCCACTGGAGCGGAAGGACAAGATAGGAGGAAAGAGGACTGTACCCTGGAACTGTCACACTACTCAGAGAGGGACCTCTCAGGATGAGACCACTGAAATCACCCAGGTAGGTGAGGCCTAACCTTTTCAGACCAGTAGGATTCTCTGCTCTGAACCTCCAATCTGGTCTTCTTACAATACATAGTTCTTGTTAAACCAACAGAGGCAGGTTTCTGTCTCCAATCCCAGAAAGAAAAGCAACTAGCAGATGATGAGGGTGAGTTAAACTGGGCAGAACAAGTCAGAAAGGTGACCGGGCTGGATGGCTTAGTGGTTGAGTGTCTGCCTTGGCTCAGGTCATGACCCCCGGGGTCCTGAGATCGAGTCCCAAGTCAGGCTCCCTGTAGAAAGCCTGCTTCTCCTTCTGCCTGTGTCTTTGCCTCTGTGTGTGTGTCTCTCATGAATAAATAAATAAAAATCTTTTTTTAAAAAAAGGCAAGGGAACGGTGGGTTATGCAGGTCTTCTCCACTCACTCCTTTGACTTGTGCTCCCAGATCAGATTTGAGTTGCTCTGCCCCCAGGTTATATAGTATATAGTGTAATGATCCTGTGGCAATGTTAAGAGAGAGACCCAGTCTGTCAGATTTTTAACACTTGCCTTGAATTCCTTTTTGTCTTTCTGAGGTGTCCAACCATCCCCTCTGCCCTGCTCAGAGTAAAGCCTGACTTACACTCATAGAACAGGGCTAGGTCCACATTCATCAGTGGGAAAATCATGGTACACCTGAGATCCTCAAATCATGTCCTGGGTTCCTTGGGCCCTCCTTCCCTATGCCACTCCCAGTTCCCTGATCTGAAAACCAGGCTCACAGGGACCACAGCCTACCCAGTGCTCAGAGAGCAACACTAGAGCTAAGATGAAAACCCACAGGCTCCCCTCGCTGTCACTGCCTCATTGGCACAGAGCAGCTGGAAGAGCTCAGGACTTCCTGTCTTTCCTTGTGATCCAGGTGAAAACACTTTTCCAGCCTGAGACCTCCGCAGAGTTCTACCGTGATTGGCGGCGGTATTTGCGGAGTGGGCCAGAGCGCTACCAGGCCCTGCTGCAGCTCGGAGGTCCAAAACTGGGTCATCTCTTCCAGACGGACGTGGGGTTTGGACTTCTAGGGGAGCTGCTGGTGGCACTGGCTGATCATGTGAGGCCAGTCGACCGGTTGGTGGTACTAGGGATCCTGCGCAGCCTGGCGGGCACTGGGCGCTTCACTCTGAACCTGAGCCTGCTGAGCCATGCGGAGAGAGAGAGCTGCAGAGTCCTGTTTCAGAAGCTGCAGGCCATGAGTGCTCCCAGATCCACAAAGGGGGGCTTCAGTCAGGCGGAGTGGGGTCTGGAGGAGCAGCCTGGTGTGCTCCAGGATGAGGAGAGGCTCCTGCAAGAGCTGCTAGGGGTATACCGGATGGATTGATGGGGTCAGTTGCCTTCAGAGGACCCCAGTGGCCCCTGAAAGCATTTTTTGTTTGTTGAAGGGGGCTCTTCAGGACTGTAATGAGAAGCCCACACCTAATCCCCTTCTCAACTTGGAATTTTCAGAGCAGATGCAGGAATCGAATCTTCCCCATTTCTCAGGGCACCCTGGAGGCACAATATTCTGTACTATGTAGATCAACAGGATGGACAAGGGCCCAAGAACTTGAAAGAATTTTGCTTGCCATCCTTAGAGTCAACCAAGCCTCCCATAGGCTCCGAGAGATGAGTGTGTGTCCAACCAAATGCTGGCTATACCCGTTGAAGCGTCTATTCAAAATAATAGTAGCAGTAGTAATAGTAATAATAGTAATAAATAAGAAGAGGAAAGAAAAGAAAAATAAAAAACAAATTCATTCATCTTCCATGGTAAACAAATACTGATCTCCACAGCTCTTAACAGGAATATCCCAAACCAGTGAATGGACATTTAATTGGCAAATAATCAGATGCTACCTCATTGAGGTATACTATTTTCCTCAGGGGCTGAATTCCTGCACTGGGGAGCCTGGGAAAGCCCCAAGCCATCAGCTTAGGTCTGGCCAGCCTCCCAGGCTTCAGATGGCCAGATGTGCAGGCAGGTGAGTCTTCTTCAATTCCTGGATTAACCAAAGGGAAGACCTTTCCACTAACCAGGCAGGTAGGGCCTGAAGCAGGAAGGCAGAGATTTTCCTGTTCTGGCACCTGTGCCCTTGCTTCTCATTCCGGTTTCTCTTGACCCATTCTTGGGCGAGTGCCAGTGTTCTAGAAAGGGGAGAGAGGGCTAGGTTCTAGAATGGTTTTCCCTCAAGATCACATCTGGAATATGAGAAGGGCATCTTGTACATCAGCTGGGAATAAATTGCCTGGCCTTTGGCCACTTCCTCTGCAGATTCTTGCTTCTCTCCCTGGCTACTTAATCCTTTCTCATATAGATACCCGCTCCTGGAAGTGATTTCTAGAAGTCCTGTAGGCCTTTCAGTGCCTTGGCTTTGCCCTGCCCCCCTGACCATTGCCTCTTGTGGGCATGAACATGGCCCACCCCACTGTGCTCCTGTGGGTGTGGGGGAGTCTCCAGGCCTTTGAACTTGTGGAGAAGGAGAATATTTTTCAGAGGACCCCTTGCCCAGCATTTCTGATGTTTGACAATGCAGCCTACCTGGCCGACATGAGCTTCGAGCTTCCCTGCCACTGCAAGCCTGAGGAGGTGTCTGCTGTGGTCTGGTACTATCAAAAGCACCTGGGCAGCCGCCACACCAAAGTGCTGACAGACTTCGACGGGCGGGTGCTGACAGAGGAATCCCAGGTGCGTGTGGGCAGCGACATGCTGGTTCGTTTCAGCATCCGCATGTTCAGCCTGTTGGTTTTCCGGGCCCAGCCTGAGGACTCGGGCTTGTATTTTTGTGGCACCCGCAAGGGGGACTACTTTTATGCCTATGATGTGGACATCCAGAGCAGTGAGGGAATGGTGGCCACCTTCAAGGACCAGGGCCAGGAGCCCGTTGCAGATGAGCACCGCGGGAGCCTCCACATCTTCACCACCTTCTGGGAGTGGACCCCTTGTGACCGCTGTGGGGTGCGTGGGGAGCAGTGGCGCATTGGCCTCTGCTACTTGCAGAGCCCAGATCTCTCCCCACGTTACCACAAGACACTGCCTGACGTGGTGTCCTGTGGTTCACAGGCTGTGCCCAGAAAGCTTCGGGCCCAGACCAGGGAGCATACACCCGAACTACTGGTCCAGAGCTGTGTGGTGCCCTGTGAGAAGAAGGTTCAGGACGGCCTGATGGCCATCTTCAGCTATGTGGCCAAGGTGGGCAGCCGGCCCTGGGTGCCTGAGGTCCCCATTCAGTTCCATGAGCAGAGGCTGGGCCATGGACTCATTATCTCCTGTCCTGGGTCCCGGCCCGAGCACGCTGTGGCCTGGGACAAGGACCACCAGTACCTCTACCGCACACAGTACCTGAAGGGCGTCAACAGGTCCATGAGAGTGTTCATCGACCACGGCAACCATCTCCACATCCGTTTCACCCAGCTGAGTGACCGGGGCATCTACTATTGCTGGCGGCAGGGGGTGCGGGTTGCAGGGTTCCGACTGGGTGTTGCATCTCGGGGCCGCTACCGGATCTCATTCTCAGACCCAGAGACTCGCTTTGCTATGGAGCTCACCCTACTAGGCTACCTGTTCATCACGGCTGTCTTTGTCACCATTCACCTCTGTAGGTGCTGCTGTTACTTATTTCACTGTTGTCCCAACTTCTCCCCTTAGATCCCCCTTTTTTCCCACCTCTGAAGACCAGCTATGCTCAGATGTGTTTGTTAAATGATGCCGGATGCCTCTGGGTGGGCATCCCGGGCTGGGCTGTGTGGCAAGGGGGGGTGTGGACAAATCTGTTACTTACAACCTGCTCTGGCAGGTGGAGAAGCCTGAGGCAGGTGGGAGAAAAGGGGGGCTGAGGCCAGTATGGAAGTAGCTAGGGTGCACGTCTTCCAACTTCACGCTCAGAGAAGGAAGAAGTGAACCTAATATTTATCAAGTGGCCTTTTTGATGCTGGAAGAGTGTTTGAGGTGCTTTATTTTCTTGTCTTGGAGGATTGCTAAATAGCCAGCCGCTGGTTGAATTAGGGGTAGCAGGGAGAGGAAGAGGGAGTGGGGGAGCCTCATATATGTTCTTGTCTCCACAATGGCAGGTTTGAGGGAAAAGGTAGAGACTAATACAGGGGAAATGGGTGAGGAAAGTGGAGTTCAACATCAGGGTTTTTCCCAGGGCTGGGGACTGAGTGAGAAGAGGGGCGGGGGGCACCAGGGCTGCCAGGGGGAGCATGGTTAGAGCTGGGATTTGTCATGTGCCTGCTGCTTGGGGGTTTGGGGTCCCAAGATGATCAGCAATAAGAAGCAAGTTGAGTCTTGCCCAAGGCTACTTCCTGCCCTCTCCCCCAGCCCCAGCCTCCCCTGAAAAGATCAGAGTCCACTCTGGGAAAGGCCACAGCAATTGTCTTTATTTACCTTAGTAAGTAAAGGCTGCAGTGGTACCCCGAGGGTTAGCAGCAGCGGGTGGCAGGAGGGAGTGAGGGGAAGGGCACCAGGTCTTGGAAAGAGGGAAGGACTCTCACTTTTCTGGCCTTGGAGGGGTGAGGAGGACCCTGGAGCAGGCCCTCTCAGCCCTATTTGTGGGCACAGATAGTCCTGTGCCTGCCCCTCACCCCCAGTCTTCCCATAGAAAGCAGAGCACAAACCAGTCTTCATTCTGTTTGTGCCTCCATTCCCCAAACAATAAAATATAGTGCTACCTACAGTATGAGGGTACATTTTGGATTGGAGTAGGAGGGGAACCACAAGAGCCCTTGGGTTAGGAAAAAACAGCAGGTCACTGGAGGGTGGGAAGTATCTGATGTAGGACAGTGGCTTCACCCAGCAGTGTTACTGGGGTTGGGAGGCAGCAGCTACAGTGGCTCAGAGGCCTGGGTGGGGGAATTATGCAGCAAGGAGGGAGGCTTTAAAATAGGAACAAAGTGTGCCCTGCCCCTGGGGACAGCAGCCCCTCTCTCTAGTGTCAGCATCTTCAAGAGGATGAATCACTTCCTTGATTCCCATGACCCAGAGGCCAAGTGTATCTGGTTGCCCATAACCCCCTACTCTGATGTCTAGCATCATCCTAACTGCCTCCTCTACCTTCTCCTCTTGCCTCCCCCTCCAGCCTTATGGAGGGAGGATTCCTGGGCTTGACCTCTCTGTATCCAAGCTAGGGGCCAGGCAGCCCCCCTCTACTCCTTCCCAGCACCCCATCCCTCTCCACTTACACTATAGATCCTCCAAGTGCTGAGAATCAAGCTCCCACACGCCCATGGCATGCCCAAAGCGTGCCCACATGTCAGCTCAGTGGGACTGAGACATTTGAATTGTCACTCAGGAGGCCCCTCTGGGATCTGGGCAGGCCAGGCATTCTGTCTGGGGACTACTCCAAGTGGCAGGATGTCCCCACCCAGTCTCAGACTGCTCAGGGTCAGTCTAGAATAAGAAACCTCTGACCAGGGCTATCTTGCCTGTGGGGAGTTGCCCTTCCTGTCTGAGTCTCTGTTTTCCTCCAACAGCCTAAGGAAACTCTAAGGCCCACTTCCCAGATACCCCCAGGGACCTCCAGTTCTGGCAACAGTTGCCATGACAACAGGGATTAGGGCTATGGAGGGTGATTTATTGGGTCCCCTGACCTCAACTTCTTCCTCCCACAGTTCTAACCCAAGCTTCTGGCCACACCCCTCCAGACCACCCCTTTGGGTGGGGAGTGACTTGTTAGTTGGAGTTATTGGGTGCAGGGTGGGTGCCCTCTGGCAGGCCTAGTACCGATGGAGCCTAGAGCAGCAAGCTAGCATAGAGGTGGAGGGACGAGGGGAGCAGCTGGGGCAGGTGGGAACTCAGGTCTGGGGAAGTCAGCTATAGAGGAGGGGCAACAATCCCATCCGCTCAGACCCCTCAGGCTGTGTGGGACATGGGCCACCAGGTGGGTCCTGCTTCACATCACCTCCTTGTGCTCCTGCTTGGATTCCTTAATGACCTGCAGGGTACAGAGAAAAGTGCATAACAGTTAGGGGCTCACACAGACATCAGGTCCACCACTGCTAGGCTATGCGACCTTGGAGAAATCTCCAGCTTTCCTGGGTTTTTCTTTTCTGTGATAGTAACCAGAACCCCATCACGCAGCTGCCAGGAAATGAGGGAATACTTGCAAGCATTTAGCACCATGCCTGGCCCATGGTGAGCTGATGTGGTAAGTTAGCTAGCTGCTGTCGCTGGCGTGGCAAGGAGGGGCTATGCCAAATCCCCCCTTCCTGTTCCTCTGGCAGGTTCCTTTTATCAAGCTGGAAATTGAAAGCTGGGAGTGAAAGCTACTAACTTTATTTTCCTTTCTCTCTCTCCCCAGGCTAGAGTCTGAGGGCACCTGAGTCTGAGGGTACCTGAGTCTGAGGGTGAGACAGGGAGAAAGTCCAAATCAGGACTCCATCCGGTGGCCTAGACACCCAGGGTCCCTAGAACTGCCAGTGGAGAGGATTGGGAATTGAATTATATCCCGGTTCCTTCCCCTCTTCCAGAGCCTCCCTGGGAAGCTCTTCTGAGTAATTGAGAACCTTCTATGTGCCAGTTCAGGCTTTCTTCCAAAGTCTGGCCTCGAAAATTCCTGCAGGCAGCCAGAGCCTGATAGGGCCAGAATCTCAGATCTGACCTTACCTCCCCATCCCGCATCTCCACGGTCTTTACCACGATGTTCCTCTTGAGGTGGCCTTCTGACACGGACTTGGTATCCAGGCTGGTTTCTGCAATCATGGGGACAGGAGGCCCCTTGTTGGCTCTTGGGCCACTAAACATCCTCCCCCACTGCCAGCTTCCCTATGAAACCCACAGTTTTGGGAATTGAGTCTGTCCAACCAGGCAGAGAGGGCTAGGCTCTTTCAAGGGGGCTGGAGACCCCCCAAGTTCCCACAGTGCTAGGCAAGACCTAGCTGTTCCAGCCAGTGCTTTGCTCACTTCCCTGGCCTGGCTGCATTTTGGTCCCTCTGCCAGCTCTGACCTGGCACCTGGCTTTCTGACAACCCAGTGCTGTGCCGAGGAAGGAACACACGGGCTTTGAAATCAGGTAGGCCAGAGCTCAAGTCTCAGCTCAGCCTCAAGGCTGTGAGCAAGGTAATTTACCTCTCCCAGCCTCAGTTTCCTAATCTGCAAAATGGGGGTGATGGTATCTACTTCTCTAGGTGGGAGCAAGGAGTCAGTTTACTGAAATAATACATGTTAAGTGCCTAGCACATACTAGTGCTCAATAAACACGGGTCCCTTTCCTGTTCCCCTTCCCTTCTACTTCTTTCTGCCACTTCTCTGGTCCCTACTGACCCTTTACTGTTTGGCACTTGGCAGTATTACCTTGACCTGCTCTGCCTGGTTAAACTTCCGATGCTGAACTGAGCCCCAGGACATGCAGATCTAGGGTTCCTAGATTTCTAGAGCAGAATTTTTTTCCTCTTAGATAAGAATCATGTGAGGGCCACATACAAGTAAGAAGTAATTTAGTTTTTCCCCCCCTCAGAGAGAAAAATGTAATATGTCACTCTCACTAATATTTAAAATTAAGAGAAGGGAGCATAAAACTGTATTCACTCCAAGAGCAGCAGTCTAGGGGGAAATACTCCTCTGGGCTGAATCAGCACTGAGCTGAGCTGTGGAGCCTCAGGGACAGATGTATCGAGCAAAGAACCTGGCCACCAGGCACGGCAAAACCCAAGGGGCCCTCCCACTGATGGGGAAGAGGTGAGGCAGAGGCTGGCATTTGCTGAGAGGCCCCAGAGCATCTCGTCTGAGCACCAGAGGATATATCACTTTGAACACCAGCCAGCTCTGCTAGTTTAACCAACATTTACCCTGTGCCAGGTCCTGGGCTGGGCACTGAAGTTGCTGAGATAATGACACAAGCGTGGCCCTTTAGGGAAACCCGAGAGGGGGGAGCCCAGGAGGGCAGGGCAAATGGGCCTGGTGAGGCTCGCTCCCTGTCAAGCTGAGAAATGCACCGTGTCAGAGGCAGGCTGCTAACCGAGAGCCGGCGGGGCTCCATTTACAATCTGGTGAGCCTGTATTGGTATAACTTGTATTGTGAGGCTTTTGAGATGTCTTGTGACCTTGTGACTTTCCCCTTCTTTGGTGCTTTTGCCCCCTGTAGTGACAAGCAGTTAAAAACAAAAACAAAAACAAAAACATAAAACACTTAGATGGGCAGAGCTTGCTCAGGGATCTGCAGACAGGACAGAGATGGAGACCTTCACCCAATTCTGCTGTAGGATGGGGTGGCAGGGTTAGGGAATGGGACACAGGGCAGAGCAGGACAGGAGCAGCTGCAAGCCCCACCTGGAATGCTCTGAGCTGCTGTGTTCTGGCTGGAAGCTCTGCGGTGAATTATGTAGGCCCCCAAGGAAGCCCTGGACCGGACCCCTTTGCCCTGGTCCTCAGCCCCAGGCCAGAGCAGCTGCCCACATGGGGGGAGGGGGCAGGAATCCAACACCCTGCCCACAAGGCCCTACTCTACTGACCTCGGATCTGCAAGTTGGAGAAGGTCTGCACGGGAATGGTGATGCTGAAAGATAGCAAAGGCGGAAGAGTGACCGGGCTGTCCAAGGACATCCTTGGGGCCAGGTCCTGGTCTAGGGTTATCAGGACAGCCTCCAAGCTCTTCTTTTTGCCAGGAAGAGCTGAACCCATCTCCTGGCTTTCCCCAGCAGCCTACATGCTCCCTGGGGCTCCTAGAGTCTGCAAGGGGCTTGGGTGTTGTCTGCCAGAGGCACATCTCTGTTTGAAAGAGTGGAGGCCTGGAGGATGGCAGAGGGAGAGAGGAAGTGGTGAAGAAAGTTCTGAGGAGGCAAAAGAGAGGGTCAGGGGAAAAGTCCAATCTTCATTGGGAGGGTAGGGGGTAAGCCTCTTAGTTTGGGGGAGGTAACCCAAGTCCTCACCCTATGACCTCACCAACACCAACTGAATGGAATCCATTAATTCATTCACCAAACATTTATGAGTACCTACTGTGTGTTAGGTGAGCACTGTGTTGGGCACTGGGATAGGAGGGGGCACAACACAAACTGAATATGACAGTCCCTGACGGGAGCAAGGAGACTCCAGGGAGGGGCAGCAGGGAGGACACCCCTCCCCAACCACGCCCCCGGTGGCCTCTCACCGGTTCTCCTCGCCCTCCAGCAGTTTCCTGTAGGTGGCGATCTCAATGTCCAGGGCCAGCTTGACATTCAGCAGGTCCTGGTACTCCTGCAGATGGCGGGCCATCTCATCTTTGAGGTTCTGTCCCTCCTCCTCCAGCCGGACTAGTGCCTCCTGGTAACTCGCCGCCTCCCTCGCGTGGCGCTCCTCCTGCTCCCGCATCTGCCTCTCCAGGGACTCGTTCTGCAGGGTGGAGCCGGCAGGTGCCTCGGGGAAGGATCACTGCCCGCCCCCGCCTGATCCCCAGCCTGCCCTGTGGCTCCCCGCCCAGTAAGTGTGCAGCGCCCCTGCCCTCCGTCCCGTCCCCGCCCCTGGCTGGCAGGTTCCCCAGGCTCAGGCTGGCGCACCAGCATCTGCCCCTCTGCGGCCCTGCCCGCGCTCACCGTGCCGCGCAAGGACTCCAGGTCGCAGGTCAAGGTCTGCAGCTGGCGACGGTAGTCGTTGGCCTCGTGCTTGGCCTGGCGGAGCAGCTCGGCGTTGCGGGCAGCGGCGTCGGTCAGGTCCGCGAACTAGGGCGGAGAGCACTAGTTCTCTGTGGAGAACTGTCGAGGGAGCTGTGCGGGCTGGTGGGTCTCTGGGAATTCAGGGAGATGGCCAGGACCCCAGGCTTGGTGTCCAGGTCTCCCCGGGACTCCGGCCCTGGGTGGGATTATTCCCAGTGACCGTGACCCATGAACAGAAGGCACAGAAGGTCCCTGCTGGGGCTCCGGCAACTAGCACAGTGCCTGGGCAGGGAGTGGAGAAACCAACGGTGCTGGCAGCGGAATTCAGAAACTCCTGTGCTGGCAGCCTTCCAGGAGCCTGAACCCGGCCCCCCCACCCCACCCCCACCCCCACCATGGACAGGGGTTTCTGGTGAGCAGTACCCTGGGTTCTAAAAGTTCTTTCTCCCCCTAGCTGGCAGTGAAGCTCTCATGGCTCCATCAGGCCTTGACCTTCTCAGAACCATCACTGGCTTCTGCCACTCACACTCCTTAGCTCGGACGCTGGGCTGGCATCTCTGGACCCCTGCCTCTCTGTGCTTTCTTACCCTCAGAATGCCCCTCCCCTCTTCTCTTCATGTTCTTTGGCTGCCAGTCTTTCCTAGCCCAAATGCCCTCCCTTCTATGGTATGTTCCCCATGTTGCATATAAGCTGCCCAGCAGTGTTCCCTCTAGACACCATATTTGGGTGCACATCACATCTCCCTGGTTTGACAGGTCTCTGTATCCTGGGCAGTGCAGTGGATGCCCAGTGACCCAGGATACAGACAACAGAGGCATCAAGAACGCAGGCTCCCAAGTGTGATGGCTAGGGTTAGACATCCAGCTCTACCACTTAGGAACTGTGTGACTTTGGTCAAACTAGTTAACCTCTCTGGACTTCAGTTCTCTCATCTGTCGAGGAACACTACTTTCTTTGTAGTAAGATAATGTATGCAAAGCACAGGGCCTGGCATACAATGTTGGCTAATAATAGTAATAATAACAATAATAATGATAGTAATAGTAATAAATACTTATTGGAGGAGCACATGTCGGTTTAGCATCCGACTCCTGGTTTCAACTCAGGTCATGATCTCAGGGTCATGAGATCCAGCCCTGTGTGGGGCTCTGCACTCAGCCTGGAGTCTGCTTGAGATTCTTCCTCCCTCCCTCCCCCTCTGCTCCTCCCCCTGCTCACACTCTCTCTCAAATAAAATCTTTTTTAAAAAGTACTTATTGCAAAAAAAAAAAAAAGTACTTATTGCAAGTAAATGTGACTGTGTGACCCTGGGCAAGCCCCCTCATTTCTCTGGTGAAGGTCAATGACCTGGAGAGGATCCCCTCCCAGCTTCCCCCACCCTTGTTCCCTGATTCTCTTGTATAGAGCCAGTAGGGCTCCCTGGAGGAAGCAGCCTGGCCCACAGTCAGCGCTACCTTGGACCGGTACCATTCCTCTGCCTCATGCATGTTGCTGGATGCCATGGCCTCGTACTGCGTACGGATTTCTCTTAGGGCTGCTGTGAGGTCCGGTTTGGCCACATCCAGCTCCACATGGACCTGCTGCCGGGCCAGCTGCTCCTGGAGCTCCTGCACCTCCTGGCCAGGAGAGAAGGGATGCCAGGGCTTGGAGCCTAGGCTGCAACTGGCATTTCCCCACAATATCATGTCCTTGCCTGCCTGCCCCTTGGACATTGATGTTAGCTAAGGGAAATTGGGCAGTCCTAGTTAGAGGAAGTGGCATGGCCCAGGCCAGGGGAGGGTAGTTTGGGGGCCTCATGGTGTCCTCCTCCCAGGTTCCACCAGGCAGGAGCACTGAAAGTGTGCCTGTGTTCTTATGGAGAGCAACTGAGTCCCTGTGGTGTGGGTGTGTCTGCAGGGTCCCAGGTTCCATGGCATCATAGATTATGAATCCATAATCTGAAGTCAGATCTCAGTGGTGTCTTTTTAAAATGAATGGCTCACATTTAAATGGAGACAGGTGGCAGTGGGAGTGATGTCAGAGAGACTAACTATGTGACCTCAGAAAGTCACATATCTGGGCTTCAGTGTCCTCCTCTGTGAAAAGGAAATAATACTGGAAGGGTTTCTATCACACAGGGCTGTTGTGAAATAAAAAATGGGGTGGGGCACCTGGGTGGCTCAGTGGTTGAGCGTCTGCCTTTGGCTCAGGTCTTAATCCTGGGGTCCTGGAATCGAGTCCCACATCATGCTCCCCATAGGGAACCTGCCTCTCCCTTTGCCTATGTCTCTGCCTCTCTATGTCTCTCATGAAGAAATAAAATCTTTTTTAAAAAGGGGGGGGGGCAACAAGTTCTGTTATAATTCTTAGTAAGTGGTGTGTGTCTATGGATTTCACCAGGGGCTAAGGATGCTCTCTTATCTCTATGTCTGTCTCCCCTATGCCTATTTTCTTTCTTTCTGTCTCTGTCTCTATCCATTTCAACCTCTCTGAGGGCCTTACCTCATCGTGGATCTTCCTCAAAAACCGGATTTCTTCCTCTAGAGACTCAGTCTTCCTCTCCAGATCCAGACGGGCTAAGGTGGCTTCATCTGCCTCCTGGAGCAGGGAGGGACAAAAGGCTGCTCTGACCCCAGACTCCTTCTTCCCACTCCCATGTCTTGTCTGGTCCCTCCTTCTGTGGCTGGGGAGAGCAGCACATTGCTCTGGAGGGCTGGGCTTAGGGGCTGTGTGAGTGAGCTGCCATCAACTCTTTACCCCCCTCCCCCACCCTCCCCTCCACCCCCCTCACCTGTCGATAAGTGGCCAGGTTGTTCTCAGCCTCCAGCCTCAGGTTGGTTTCATCCTGGAACCTGGGGTAGGGGGACACATTCCCGGGTGTCTGCCCCAATCTCCCTGGAGGTAGCTGCCAGAGAGACCCCCACCCCCACCCCTGGGCCCAGTGGAATGGCAGGAGGAGTGAAGGGCAGAGGGTCCCAGACAGAGCCTTGGCCAGGAGGGTGAGCAGATAAGGGCCTGTGCTTTAACTCATTACTAAAGTGCTTTATCAAGGTTGGTGCACCTGCTCCTGCTCACACAGGTGCTTTCACCAACATACGCTCACTGCTGCATGCACACTCATCCTCCTACTTGAGGGCACACACGCCTGCCCTGCCAGCTCAGCAAAACACCACGTCCCTGGGGTTTCCTCTGACCTTTGGAAATAGGTTTATTAGAATCTCTACTTCATAGCACTGCAAGCTAAAGTGGCTTGACCAGGATCATAAGCTGGTGACAGGCAGTATCACCTGTGTTCCCAAGCCAGGCTCACCTGCTCTTTGCCTCACCTCCTCCTTTGCCCCAGAGCCCCGTCCTAGTGAACACCAATCTTCCCTTCCCATTCCTCCACTCCACGGACCTGGGCTCTGCAAGGGCACCAGGCCCAGCAGCAGCGAATGAAATATGAAGACCCTGCCTATGGGGGTCCCTGACTGTTCCCACATGGCTTTCCCCAAAGGGGAGGTGCTGAGAGCACCATGGCTCCTCTGCAAGAGGTCTTTGGGAGTCAGATCCTTGGGACTCGGCCTCCTCCCAGTTCCTCCCATCATCTTGGGGAGCAAGGACAGCCCTCCCCTCCCAGAGATGGATAAACAGAGGAGCCAAGGATCACAGAGTCAGAGCCCCCGCCTGAGGTCCTGGGCCTGCGAGGGGCGGGCATCTTCCCTGCTCAGGAGGTCCCTCACCCCGGCCCCTTCCTCACTTCTGCCTCAGGGTGCCCAGGTCCTGTGCCAGATTGTCTCTCTCGACCTCCAGCCGGGCGCTGTTGGCAGTGAGTTGGTCTAGCCGCAGCCTTAGCTCTCGCAGCTCGGCCTGGTAGACGTCGGCCAGCTTGGTGGGCTCCTTGGCCCGCAGTTGGTTCAGCTCAGCAGCCAGAGCCTTGTTCTGCTGTTCCAGGAAGCGCACCTTCTCGATGTAGCTGGCAAAGCGGTCGTTGAGCTCCATCATCTCGGCGCGCTCGCTGGCCCGTGTCTCCTTGAAGCCGGTGTTGAGTGCCGCGGCCAGGGAGAAGTCCACCCGGGCGAGCGGAAGCGGCATCCGAGCCACGGAGAGGCGGGGGCCCGGGCCCAGCCGGCGGCCAGAGCCCAGGCCGCCCCCCGCCATGTCCGACGAAGAGACGTAGGAGCGGCGAGCGGCCGAGGCGACCCGTCTCCTCTCCATGCTGGCCCTGCCTGCTCCCGGGGAGTGAGGGCTTTATGGAGGCGAGGGCTGGCCTGGCAAGGCCCCAGCTGCCCCTGGCAACGCCCCCTGGCATGGCCTGAGGGGAGGGGCTGGGCCGCAGCTCGCTGGGGGGGGGCTCCTCTCACCCCACCGAGGTCACTGTGCCCAGGGGCTGGGCCTCGTGGGCACGCCAACCCCAGCCGGGTCACAGACAGGTGCTCGTGGGCGATGCCTGGGGCCTGATGCTCCATCTGCGGCCCTGACCACTTAGGCAAGGAGGCCCTTTCTCTGGGAAGGTGGGCCAAGAAAGGGCTGGATTAGATGACCTCTGACCTGCTTTCCACTGCTTTCCACCTCTTAGATCCCATGAAGCAGGTTGGGGACCTCTGGGTGGCGCAGCGGTTTGGCGCCTGCCTTTGGCCCAGGGCGCGATCCTGGAGACCCGGGATCGAATCCCACATCGGGCTCCCGGTGCATGGAGCCTGCTTCTCCCTCTGCCTGTGTCTCTGCCTCTCTCTCACTGTGTGCCTATCATAAATAAATTAAAAAAAAAAAAAAAAAAAGCAGGCCTTCTCGGCTCAGCACTCCTCCTAGTGCCTGCTAAGTGCTGGAATTTGCGAACAGCAAATGTGTTCCATACTCTCAAGAAGCAGCCGGTGTTACAGTGCTGAGCCCCGATCCTAGTGGACTGTTGGACCTCTCTGCTCTGAACACAGGCGTCCTGCATTTCTGCTTTCTCCCCCTTTCCCGGAGGTCTGGGGCTGTGGGCTGGAACTGGACACCAGCCCTTTGTCTAGAGGGTCATTTGAGGCCTCTGTCCAACAGTGGGGGGTGGTGGTGAAGGAAGGGACATAGAAGTTTTGAAGGGGCAAGAGAGGCAGGTGCTGGACTCCCTGGCCTTCTCCCTGGACCACACTTAAGCCCCTGCCTCTGTCCCCCCAAGTTCACTTCCCCCGTGCCTGGCCTCCCTGTACCCCTGCCTGGAGCTGGGTCTAGACAGCTGCACAAAGCAGTTATGGATGAGCTGGCTGTCCCAGCTCCCATCTTTGTTGCTCCATCCCCCAGTTTCCCCACCACCCCTCACTTCACTTTCACACTGGAGATTTATCTCCTTTGAGTTCCCACACATCAGGCTGAGAGGATGGGAAACACCTCTGGGGATGGGTCATTTTGGGAACCCAGGAGCCACTGGGTCATTATTAGGAGCCCAGGCTGGTGCCCTGTAGCCTGACACTTCAGATCCATCCACCCTTCTCTTCTGATCCCATGGGGCCAGAGCCTCACCCAGGCCCCTCACCCATCTGTGTCCTTGGATTTCTGGGAAGCCTTCCTCTCCCCGCCCCACTGAGGCCAATGCCTGGGCCTCTGATCCCTTCTCCTGGACACTTGCTGAATAGAGCCTTGTTTTCCACCACTGGTCAGGGCACCACATGGAGAGGGCAACCCCCGGGGGGCTGTGCTGTTTTTATCCCAAGATGCCAGGCTGTTAGGCAGAGTACAGCCCAAGCCCCAGCTCAAAGAGTTTCTCGGAAGCATCTGAGGGGGCCCCGGGGGCAGTGGGGAGCAGGCTCTGTGCCCACCCCCGACCATTGTGTCTGTGCCAAGGTGAGTCATTCAGTGGGCACAAGGCAAAGGCCCTGGTAGGGGGTGGGGGCCAGCCCAGCCCTGCAGACAAGGCCTGGCTGCTTGCCCCCTCCCCAGCTCCCAGAGCCAGCTCACACCCCTGAGCTCCAGGCAGGGCAATGCCTCTTACCCCACGCTGGGGAGACACTCACCACTTGGGCATGTTATGGGCTGCCTGCCTATGTTTTTCCCTGTGAGTCCCAGCACAGAGAGGAAAGGTGAGGGTCCCTAAGTCTTCAGCCACACCTGCCGCTGGAACCTGAGCAGTAACAAGTGGAGGGGACTTCTGGGGGAGGGGATGCCCTGTGACTTTTGATCCTGTTGTGGCTCAAGGAGCAGAGAAATGTCAGAGGCATTAAAGGAAGAACAAGATGGGATAAACCCTCTTCGCAACTACTCTCTGTGACTGGGAGGGGGTGTCCTAGCTCTTGGGGCAAGTCACAGTATGCAGCCTTCTCTCTTTGTTCTGGTGAAATCTAGTTGAAATGAGTGTAAAGCAGTCTTGAGGGGAAAAGATGGAACAAGAGCAGGAAGGGCTTGCCAGTGACTCAGTGACGTGTGTGTGTGTGTGTGTGTGTGTGTGTGTGTGTGTGTGACCCAGGCTTATATCAGCAGCAGTAGCAGAGAGCCCCCTCGCTCCCGCCCTTTAGCCGTTTCAGCCACTTCCCTGGACCTGCTGCTCCATCTTCAACCTCCATCTGACCCAGACCCATTCCCCACCCTCACTCCTTAACTGTCCAAAGATGTCCACACAAGAACCTGAGAGGTAGACAGACATGGTTGTGGTTGTTTGCCAAGCTTTCATTATTTTATTTTATTTTTTTTTAAATTTTTTTTATTTATTTAAGATAGTCACAGAGAGAGAGAGAGAGAGAGAGAGAGAGAGAGAGAGAGAGGCAGAGACATAGGCAGAGGGAGAAGCAGGCTCCATGCACCGGGAGCCCGATGTGGGATTCGATCCCGGGTCTCCAGGATCGAGCCCTGGGCCAAAGGCAGGCGCTAAACCGCTGCGCCACCCAGGGATCCCTCATTATTTTATTTTTTAAAAGATTTTATTTATTTATTCATGAGAATACACAGAGAGGAGAGAGAGAGGCAGAGACACAGGCAGAGGGAGAAGCAGGCTCCATGCAGGGAGCCCGATGTGGGACTCGATCCCGGGTCTCCAGGATCACGCCCTGGCCTGAAGGCGGCGCTAAACCGCTGGGCCAACCAGGCTGCCCCAAACTTTCATTATTTTATATTACACTTTCATGGTAGGAAAATCAGAAAATATAGATAAGCAAAACGAAAAAATTTAATTAGCCATGATTTTGCCACCTGGAGATAAACACTACCAGATTTCCCCCCATATATATAAATTCTTTTTTTTAACCAGTAGGCTCATGCTGTACAAATTATTTTGTAATTTGTTTTTTTTTACTCAGCAATATGTTGTGAACATCTTTCCATATCAATAAATATTTATCTACATCATCATTTTAACAGCTGCATGGTTTTCCACTGTATGCGTTAATTTACCCAAGCCCTATTGTTAGACACACAGTTGTCCCCCCCCCTCCCTTGCCTCCCTCCCTCCCTTTCTCTCTCTCTCTCTCTGTTCTAGATTACACTATGCTGCATAGTTGCCCCAGGCAGATGCAGTTCCCAGCCTCCATGACTACTTCCATCCTCCTGGCCTGGCTCAGGCCCCATCTATGTCCTTCTTCTCCTGCTTCCCTAATCTAAGGGCCTCAACCCCTAAAGTCTCAAGCCAATTCCTAGACAGACTTCTGCATAAATAGCAGAAAGCTCCTGGCCTTGGAGGGAGGATGCCTGGATGCCTGGATGCCTCTACTCAGGGCCTTGAGTCAAGTCATGCCCTGCTTTAAGCCGAGGTGGGGACAGGATGGTCTCTCACCCCTATGCCCCTCCCCTGCATCAGAATTGGCCAGGATGCCCTCCTGCTTCCTGGAACAGATCAGTACTGCACGTGGCTTCAACCCACCCGCAAGGGTGGCCAGCATTTTCTAAATTTTCCAGCCTCTAATTCAAACCACTAGATTGCTGCCCACCGGCTCCCCTTATGCCCTCGTCTCATTCCTAGTGCCTGGCACATCATGGTGGTCCACAAGCATGGGTGGGCTGAAGAGAACTTGGGTCTCTCTGGTGGACTCCTTGGCTACTACTGAGCCCATTTATCCCACATGGGCCCCTTCCCTAAGGAAGGGAAGTAGGCCCTGGTGGCCACTAGATGGCAGTGCTCAGCTGCCCAGGTTAGAGCTGCCTCGTGTCCACAGGGAGAAAGCAGGTCTCACAGCTGCAGGGAGGCATTCTAAAACCCACATTTCTCTCACCTGGAGGGATCTAGACTTATTCTCTAGAGTTGCTTCTAACTGCTATGACAGTGCCCTCTGGAGGCAAGCAGGGCCATGGCCATTCAATAGTTATGTGATCTTGGGCGACTTCAGGAACTTTCTCTGAGTTTTCATTTCTACACCTGTAAAATGGGGACTCAAAACACTTGCTTACAAGGTAGCGCTGAGGATAAATTCAGTGAAAGCTGGACACAGGAGTTGCTCAACAAATCACAGCTTCAATTTAATAACACTTACCTGGTGCTTTACCTATTTCTGTGTTAGCGATAGGGTGGTCCTGGAGGGGTACGTGCTGGGCCTGCCAGGAGGCACTGCAGGGTCTTGTTGACTCCGCCAGGGGTGGGCAGGGAACAGTGTATAGGTACCTCCCCAGGATGGGTACCTGGAAGTGTGGTAGGGATGCAGGTTGGCAGCCGCCAGTGGAGAGAAGGTGGGAGGCAGCACCATTTGCCCCTAGACCACTAGTGGTTTGTGGCTTTGGGTCTGCCAGGGAACACACGGGAGTCATCTCTACCTGCTCCAGGGGAGCCTCAGAGTAGAGGATTGTTACCCAGCCTGCTTTCACCTCCTTGACTCCCTCCTGGGACTCTCCATCCCTCCACCCTTGCCTTTCCCCAGCCAGAGACTGGAGGCCCACAATTCCATCAGTTTGAGAAGCTCTTGGTGTGTTAACATGTTCCATGGCAGTGAGTCTCCCCTGCAACCTCAGCCTGAGGCTTCCCAAGGAGAGGGGCCCCCGTGGATAGGGACTTCCTGATGTTAGGATCTATGTCTTCCCATCAGAATGGAGTCTCCCTAGGATAGGGTTCCTCAGGACACTCTCTTTTCTTCTGAGGGAGCCCCCATGATGCAAGCACCCATGGTCTGCTCTCAGATGGGAGCTCCTCGAGGGCAGGGGCTTCCTCCCCCTTCCAGGTGGGAGGAGGGCTGCCTTGGGCCAGGGGTGGCTCCTTCTGCCACCTGTCAGCCTCTGCGGAACTGGCTCGGCTGGTGAGCAGTGCCCAGCTCCTGTGGCTATAGGAGGGTTCCTGGATGAACCCCCAGACTCCTTCCCCTTTCTTTTCCCTGGCCTCTTGTCAGCATGTTGTCGGAGGCATCAGCTCCCTTACCTCCACAGCCTCAGGGGCCAGGCTGCTTCATTGGGGTTAATAACCTTGGTGCCTGTTCTCTCCAACCCCCTCCCCCAACCCTCCTGGGCACTCCAGCCTACCCCCCACTTTCCAGCCTCTAACCCCGAGACCTGCTTTTTAATTGCTTTCCCTGATCTGTTCTGCTCCCTGCTCCCCTCCGTCCCCCTGCCTGACTGCGCCCCTCTGGGAGGGCAAGAGGTGGGGGCCAGATGTGTCCCTGGTGGGAGGAGAGGGCTGGCTGGCGGGCAGCCTGTTATTTCCAATCCAGTGGTCCTCCAAATGGACAGGATAAGCCAGGGAACAGGGGTTGTAAGGGCTGTGGCTGATCCGGTGGGGGGTTGGGGGTCTGGCGCTTAGGGAGAGCTGGAAAACAGCCATGGTCTCCAGGACCCCGGGGGTGACTCTGGTCCCTTCCTCCCCCCACAGCCTCAATCCCAAGCCCTCCGAGGTCCCTCATCACTAAAGAACCACGGAGGAGGGGAAGACAACCATAAACTAGACTCTGCCTGGGAACCAGGATCGCCCAAACTTACCTAAAAGCCAGAGGGATGTTCCTTGGAAAACCTGGAGACAGATGAGCAGGGGTGTGAGAAGGAGGACTCTTGATTTAGCAGCTGCCAAGGGGCTCCCTATGTGGTGTCAGAGCCCCCCCACCCCACCCCAGTGGGAGCCAAGCGGATGGCTGGGGGTGGGAGGACCCAGAAGAGAGAGTCCAGTCCCCTCCCCTTGACAGGTCCCAACACCGAAGGAGGTTTGGGCTTCCACTCAGGTGACAGGGACAGGACATCCTGACTCCCTCCGTGAAGGGACAATATCTTGCTCTCTGTGTCTGCAGCTCCTGGCACTGAGCCTGCTCCTCTGGACTGGGCAGGACTTTGTACCCCAGGGTGGGGCCCAGACACGAGCTTCAGGCCTGAGGTGGGCACGGAGATGAATCCAAAGGACCCACAAAGAGAGCATTTCTGAACTCCCAGAAATGGGAGTTTCTTCTGAGGGAGCCCCCATGATGCAAGCACCCATGGTCTGCTCTCAGATGGGAGCTCCTCGAGGGCAGGGGCTTCCTCCCCCTTCCAGGTGGGAGGAGGGCTGCCTTGGGCCAGGGGTGGCTCTGTGAGTGAGGGACTCTGTGCAGACCCCCAACGTGGGCGAGGCCTGGTGAAGCAGGAAGAGGGGCCTTAGCCCAGGCTGGGCCTGCCATGGATGAAGGAGCCATCGATTGCTGCATCTCAAGGATGACTCTTTATGTAAGAACAATCCAATCTCAGAGCCTCATCGCCGCCCACGGAGGTCAGCTGGGAACTGGCTGTCAGCTCGCTGCCCCCTCAGCCCCTGCCAGCTCCCTGTGAAGCTGGGACCAGCCAGGCTGCCTCCCGGCCAGCAGGACACCATGCAGCGAGCACTCTCAGCCCGACCTCCTGTGATTGAGGGCAGGAGCCACACGTGCTTAACTCCATTGGCAGAGTCTTTGTACATTTAATGGGTCACCCGAGAGCACATTTTGCACCGTGGAGCCACAAATGTTTGCTGAGCCAATGGCCGGTTGCAGAGCAACCTTGTCAAGAGTGACCCTTTCCAGTTGCCAGCTGCCCCCAGCCTAGGCAAATTCTGCCTCATGCAATGGACCCTGTTGTGGGAGGATTGCCCTTCTGGCCCTCGTTACCAGCCTCCTTGTCCTGTGCCTGCTGCCTCGGTGCTTGCAGGGGGTGATGGCGACCATCAAATGAGATAATATATGTGAGGGCCCCAGGAAACGGGCAAGTTATTCAATTTGAATCCGACCAGCGCTCAGCGAGGCCTCCTAAGGTCAAGGCACCATGCCAGGCCACTGGGGGCTACAGATGTGAAGCTGTGACTGCTTCTGTGGGAATCATGGTGCACCAGGGGAAAAAACTCATTAAGACTAATTGGAGAGGTGGGAACCACAGGCTTGTGGAAGGAAATGATGCCTGTTCCCTTCTAGAAGGAAGCAGCTCAGTGTCATGTACAGAACCAGACCCTGGTCTTGAATCCTGGCGCTGCTGCTTCTGTCTAACCCTGGACACGTTCTGTTAACCTTCTTGGGTCTCTCTCCTCATTATCCCTCATAAGGTCGCGAAGTTTTGTGCGTTGCCTCCAGCCAGGAGGGACCCCAGTGCTCCTCTTACATGTTCTCTTCTCCAAAAAGGAGGCAAAACTGAATGGGGCAAGGCTCACCAGGTAGAGGAGGAGGCTGCTCCCCCAGAACAGCAACGACTCACTTGAAATTAGCAGCATTATTTACACACTGCTCACAATGTGCTAAATACCTTTAACATGTTTGTTTTCAGAAGCAAGTTAAACACAGACTCCTATCATCCTGTTTACACGATTAATTCATTCAGCCAGCCGCATCTTCCTAGAGAGACAGAGGTAAACTTGGGTTGAACCATCACAATCCAAACGAGTGCAGAGGAAAACCTCGAACTGGGGTGGGAATGGGGCTTCTGGAGTGCGGGGAGGAAGACTGCCTGGGGGTTCAAGCGGTCAGGGCTTAGCCTAGGGCCTCACCCGAGCCCTGGAGCCCCTAAACATGGTCTCAACAGCAGGACTGTTAGCAACCTACACCCAAGGCTGCAGGATGGAACAGGCATGTAGGTATGATGGCTTCTTCACCTGCTCAGGAGCAGAGGCGGGTGAGGCCTTGGAGTAAAGAGCAAGGTTCACCCCGAGACCCCCACCTAAGGTGGCAGGAAGAGGCAGTGGGGGGCATATTCTATTCTCCGAAGTTTTCGAGGTCTGCAAGAGTGGAGAAATGGTGTTATGCTGTGTAGGTGTCCAGAAAGACACACACACCAAGGATGGAGATGCTTTATTAATCATTATAATAAAAAAATAGATCTATATCTACATGTATATATATATATGTATATATGCAGACATAAAGGATCAGAGGATATAAACCCGAGTATTAACAGCTCTTCTATCCAGGTGGTAGCATTAAAGCTGAATTACCCATTCTTCTTTACACTTCTTTTTACACTGAGTGTGCATCCTGTTTACAATAAGGCAAAAGCCATAGAACTGTCTTCATTTGGAAATCAAGACACTACTATCATCTGCATCATCACCAGGATGGTGGCCTGGGGCTGGGCTTCCTGCTCCAGGCTGCAGGGAGGAGGCTGAAGGCCCCCCATCCTGCCTCACAAACCAGGGAGAGTTGAGCTGGGAGCCCCCAGCAGGTCCCCATCCCCATCCCATGCCATCCTCATCCCTTCTCCATTGCACAGCAGCCATGACTGCATAGAGCCCTGAGATGGGATGTGGGGAGCAAAGTCCCCCCCAGAGCCACCTGCTTGCATGGAGAGTGTTATGAACTAGGGGGGTATGATGGCTGCACCTTTAGAATAGCAACATGCTAACACTCAAGATGAATATATACATGCTAAGAAGCTAAGTATAACGAGAAATTGATAAAGAGGGCAGGTAGCAGAATGAGTGGCTAGCGACAAGTGTCAAGAAAGGAAGAGGGTGTTGGCATTAATTGCTCCGACCAAGGAAGGCAGGTCAGGGCTCCTGGTGCAGGCAGTTCCAGGGACCACAAGGGACTGGTGGGTCAAGATGCCTTGCTGATACAGCTCCCAGATGACAAGGCTCCCCCAATCCCCATCGGTTCCTGCTGGCTCCTCTGGTTGCCAGGGCAGCGGGGACTGGAGGGGGGCTCTGCAGGCCAGTTGGCTGGGGCGGGCAGGGAGGAAGACAGTGAGGCTCTGTCCCACTGCTCTGCTTCCCCACCCCTTCCCAGCCCTCTCCCGCCTCTCTCAACAGGGTCCCTGCAATACTGGGAAATACCCTAGGCCCTCCTTTCACCTGAGGCTTGGCCCGCCCTGTCCCCTCCTACTTCGTCTTCATCTGCCACCAAGGCCCAGACTGTCTAGACCCCAGGACCAATTACCTGGGATTGCAAGGGGCCAGGCTGGCCTCTTCAAGTTGCTGCTGGGGAGGCGGGCAATGCGGCTGCTGCGGCCCCGGGCCACTCTCAGTGATTGGGAGGCTGAGGAGCTGAGGGGAGGGTGGGAAGGAAGGCTGGAAGGTCACGGCCATGCCTTTGGGATACAGCGTAGGGGTGGGGGGCACAGCTGGACACTAAGCCTTGAGAGCAGGGGGAGGCCCAGGCCCAGCCCCAAGAGCTTCTGAGGCCAGATCTGAGGGCAGGAGAGGCAGTGGGAGGGAAGTAGAGGTGAGGGGTATCTGTTCCCCAGTTTAGCCAGTCAACACTGAATGTATCCGTCACAGAGAGGGAGCCTGTAGCCTTTCACTAAAGGAGATACGTTCCCCTCTGATAGAATCCTGTACTGGCAAGGGCCGAGGGAACCTCATTCAGTCGGAGAACCCGATGTTGGCCCTGTTCACAAGACCCCTGCTTCTGGCTCTGAGGGCTTCAGAGACACAGCCAGGGCCCTCAGGTGCCTCGGTGTCCACTGTCCTGGTGGAAGTTCTCTCTCTCCCCCTCCTCACCTCGTAACTCTCCTCTTCTTGCAGGCTGAGGTTCCAGGGAAGGAAGAGGTTGCTTTGGGGCCTTTCATGGTGAACGGGGGCACAGGTCCACTGTAGGAGGGAGGAAGGTGAAGGGAGGCAGATCAGGAGGGAACCAGAGAAGGGGGCCTCCTCTCTCCAGCCCCCAGCTTGGCGGGTGGGGAGGTTGGACGAGATGACCTCTGAGGTTTCTTCCTACTTAGAGTCGGATTCCTCTCCCTGCCTCACTCGGCTGAGGCTGACAGCTGAGTGACAGGCCTGTTCTGGGAGAATATCCAGATGTCAGGTTCTGGCACGTTCAGGGAACTGGAGTTCAAACAATTTGACCCTTCCACCTGCCTGGCTGTGAGCTTGTTACTGGGAGGTGGTTCAGGCTGTAGGAGGGGCAGGGGGTGCGGTGGGCAGCCTGCTGCCCCCAGCCTCACAAGCACAAGGTCAATCTGCTGTTTGTTCTTGGCCTTGGACTGTCCTGAGCTGGTCACTGGCATGTGGGTAGAAGGAGAGGTGAGAGCTTCATCTTCCCACTGAAAAATGCTGAATCATGTTTTCTGAGGATCCCCCTCCCAGTTCCAGATGCCGCGCTGGAGGGTAAAATCCAGGGTGGAAATGACAGAAATATGGATTTCTCGGCAGGACATGGAACTAAGACTGGGCCAGAGGGTCAAGTGATGCAGAGGAATAGAAAGACTAGGCCCCTCCTTATTCCTGTTCCCTGCTGACCCTCCCAGAGCAGAGGGGGTCCCGTCAGCCACTTGTCAGCATGCCAGAGATCAGCACAGAGCTGGCGGCTTTGAAGTACGGACACACAAGCCAGGGCCCCTGAGAGGAGCAGCCTTCCTGGGCCTGGGGAGTGACACTGGTCAGGCCAAAGGGAGAGACAGAACAAACGTTCTGGCTCCCAAAGTCTAGCTGGCTTCCACTCTTCTTGGCAGCACCTCTGTCCCTTACTGACCCCTGAGCCCCGCCTGGAGGGAGACTCACCTGGGGATGAGGGGCGGATCCAGCACATTCAGCTCCTGGGGGGCATTCTCCCAGCCAGCACATTCACAGAAACCCAGCTTTGAGGGGGCCTCCTCCGAGAGATCAAATGTGGTGTTGAGGTCCCGAGCAGGCAGGACCAGGGGGGTGGAACAGTTCTGCACAGCAGAGGGGCCCAGAGGCACACGGCTTTTGATGACTGTGGCTGGGCAGATGCGAGGGGAGTGGCAGGAGGAGGAGGCCTTTCCCCCTTTGGGGGTGCTGGGCCCAAGTGAAGGCTGAGCCTCAGGCAGGGAGCCCCTCCTCAGGCAGGGCAGGAAGGACTGGCGCTGGCGCTTGGTCCCCAGCTTCGGGGCTGGGGGGCCATCTGGTTCTGAGGGGCTTGGTTTCCTCCTCCTCCTCCTCTCTGTGGGCCGCCGGGATACCTGGGCTGGGATGCAGTCAGACCCTGGGAGGACCCCCAGAGTGTGCATGAGGCCACCTAGTTGCCTTGCCATGGTCCGGGTCACAGGGCCAGAATAGCCTGGAGAATCTGGGCACAGAGAAGGTGGGTGCTGAGGGGAGATCAGGGACTGTCCATAAGGCAGGCAAATTTGTAGACTTTGGGGAGAGAGACAACAGAGTCATGCAGGAACCCCTAACTCCACAGGTCTGCTGCAACTTCTGTGTACCACAGCATGACCTGGCACCCGAGGCTCCAGCCACCCCTAAGCACCAGCTGGCCCTTTGAGAGGGCACTGAGAGGGACAGAGCAGGGGTGAGACTCACCTGACTCTGAGCAGGGCTCCAGAGGTACCCCCTTGGCTGGGCCAGGTGTGCCTGAGGCCTTTGCTCCAGGCTCAGCTTTTTCCTCTTGTACCAGCTGCTGCAGGGTCTCGAACTCTGTGATCATGTCGGGGGTGAGCAGGTTGGCCGCCTGGAGCAGGGAGTACTGCCGCTGTGCCAGGCACAGCATCTTCAGGGCCAACCTGGAAGAGAACGAAGGGGATCCCAGCCCTACTCACATCCGGCCCTACTGCTCAGGTGCGGTGAGGAGCACATGGGGGCAGGTCCCAGGCCTCCCTCCTGCTTTGTCCCGCACTGGCTGGCCGGCCTCACACCAACCCCCTAGCTGTGACTCCTGCTCAGCCACACTCTTACTGGAGACCGAGGTTGGCAGAGACAGCTGCAAGGAAGGCGGTAGTGGGTGTTTATCCCTAAATATGTCCCCCAACAAAGACAGTGACCTGGAAAGTAGGGTAAGGATGCTAAATGGCCTGGGACCAGAAGGCCTGAGTTTCCTCTCAGCTCTGCCACTCACTGCCACTGTGATCTTGAGTAAGTTCATTGACCCAAGGAGCAACATAAGGTAGCAGCAGTGAAGAGCTAGGCTCAGGCCAGCCTGCCGGCTCAAATCCATGCTCTGACACTTCCCACTGTGTGATCTTGGAAGCACTACTTAACCTCAGTCTCCACATCCTTACAATGGGGATGACAAATGCACCCACATCTCAGGGTTATGGGAAAAGGAAATGAAATATTTTACATATAAAGTATATAAAGAGTACCTGCCACATACAAAGCACTGTCAGGTTAACTACTTTCCATAAAATGAAAACATCTACCTTGTTAGGACAAGAGGAGATGGGATGAGATCGGCCAAGTTGGTCTTAGTTCTGAGAAGCCCCCCTCAAAAACGCATGCAGTTTGCACTCGCTACTTAGTGGTTGGGATCCCGAAAGCGCACGTGTGAATCAATGCACACTTTACATGCACAGAGAGGCTATTTAAAGGGAATTATGAGGGTAATGCGATTATTGATGTTGTAAATTTAGATTCTAATAAAGCAAATTTCCTTCCTGTGAGGCACACCTATGATAAAAGAATGAACACAATTATCTCGGTGGGGATTATTCATGGCCAATAATTTATCCTCAGGTAGCACTACCTGCCTGGATATCTCTGAGCCCCCTCTTCTGCCTTCAGTGTGTGCTCAGGGAATCCAAACTCATTTTATAAAGCAGCCTCCAGGCCTTTCTGAAAGAAGGCAGGATATAAATTAAAAAGGACATAGCAGAAACTCATTCTACATCTGCCTGAGCCACACATTATAAGAAGATTAGACCACTGAGAAAAGTGGGTGTCTAGGGAGAAATGCACTGGCCTAGATGTCAGGTGACCCAGGTCTCTCCCTGTGCCCCTGGCCATGTGGCTCTGGGCAAATGCCTCGGTACCCAATCTGGTGAAGGGGGAGCTGGTCTATACCGGTGTTTCCAAATTAGGTTTCAAGAAACCCATCAGAGGACATTTAAAATGGAGTTGCTCGGCTTTATCTATTCTACATATTAAACTTCAGCATAAGATTCCATTTGAAGAAAGGACGTTATAGCTAAAAAAAAAAATTCTGAAAGACCATTGAACTGGAAAATCTAAGATCCACTCAGTGCCCCAGTGGTCTAGGATTCTAAAGGCTACAGCCAAAGAGAAATGATTTTCCATTATCTGGTTGTTAGGGTGTTTCTGAGTATGGAGATGATCTAGCCTGTTTTGCAGCCCCTGATACGTAGGGTCTTCTGTCACATTTTATTAGTACCTATTATTAGCTCTAAGAAGTAGGGAAAATGAAAACTATGATCCCCAAATCATAGCCAAGACTGAAGCATCTTGTCAGGGACCTCAAAACCAGAGGCAAAGGAGAAATCAGAACCCTGGTGCCCTTTCTCCTCACAGAGTGGGGGAACCAGGGTGCAGAGACCCTAACTCATCAGTGGGAACGCTGTGGCCAAGGGGACACCCCGCCAGTGCATCCCTGCCACTCCGGGGCCCCGGGGAGTCAGCAGCAGGAGACAGATAATGAGCCGCTGATTATTCAGGCTGCAGCATTTTTGCTGAGTCGGGAACAGACACTCCCCAACAAGAAATAAAATTAAACAGGCCCTTCTGTCCGGAAGCTTTAAATATACTGCCTAGCGTGAAGCGTGCTGGGGAGGCAGGAGTGGGGTTGGCAGCAGCAAAGCTAAGTGGCAGGGGATTTATGTTCTAGGGGCCAAAGGAAAAACGTACTAGCAGCACCTCTCTATTAAGCACAGAAAGAAGGATCCAGAATCCATTTCTCTTTGGCTTTGGGTGGTGGTCTGTATTTACTTCTGAGAAGAAATGGCCATAATCTGTTGATGAAGACACAGGATAAACACCTGGCTCTGGAAGGTTGTCCCTTCCTCAGCCTGCCACCCAACTTCTTCTGGCTGCTTGGTTCCTCCCTGCAGAGGACGGGCAGCTCAGCCCCCAGACTGGAGCCAAATTCTGGATGGAATTTGATGTTTTGCTTGCCAGTTACGTGGAAGAATAGAGATGACGGTAAGTAGTTGGAGTAGGTGATAATCTCCGTTTTCATTGAAAGCAGGTAAGGGACAATGTTGAGGAAAAAAGACTCGACTCTTAACTGGAGCAGAACCAGAGCTTTTGCGGTGTACTTAACACCGGCTGCCACCCCAGGAGGCTGAAACCCATCACCTCCCACCTTGAACCCCAGAGAAGAACAAGAAAGATACCTACTGCTTAGAACTGTCCCTGTCCAAGTTCTGTGGTGAGAGGCAGCCCACGTCTGGCTTGGGCTGCAGGGTCAGGCCAGGGGACGTTGGCAGTGGGTGCCTGAGGGTCTGCTCTGGTCCCTGGATTAGAACCTAAGGAGGAAGGGAGTCACAGGTAGAAGGCCCTGGATGGCCACCCTCCCCTGCATATGCAGATCTTAAAATCCTTCCCTCCTCCAAGAGTGGGAATGATGGCTCTTGGACCGTTGGGGTCCTAGTTGGGACTTTCTCTTTCCCAGGCCCCTCCTCCTCCCTGCTCCCCTTCTGGTAACAAGGCTTGCTCCCCACTTCAGACACAGAGGACTTCCTGTCTTGCACAGGATCTGAAAGCCCCCTAAGGACTAAGATGCAAGTCATCCAGGTAGGGAATGTGGAACTGAAGAGACTCTATGGGCTGGGCGGGGGGAACACTTCTTCCACCACTCCACCACCTCCAAGTCCTACCTCCTCCACCAGGCCTTTGTCCTTGTCGTTTTGGAGTGGCTCCTGGTCTGGAGGGTTCTCTTCCATAACCCTCCCCACCTGGGTCTCTAGCCCCAGGCTCTCCTCTTGAAGGACTGCAGACCCTGGGTGGAGCTCTGGGGTACAGGGTGGGCTGGGAAGGCTAGGGGGGCAGGGGGAAAAGAGGGAGTGTGAGAGGTGGGAAAGCAGGGAGGGATGGGGTCTCTGTGCATCAGGTGGTATAGGGCCCAGCTTGGGTAACAAGTAGGCAATAGCAGAGGGTGGGAGGAGCCAGTGATTTTCTGGTCTAAGAAGCAATGAGGCCTCCCTCCTTAACTTCACCTTCTTTTAAATAGGATATGCTGCTTATATGGACTGGACGTGTCATTTACTCATCCAACACGGAGAATTTTTTTTTAATTTTTATGTTACTTAGAGTTGCTCTTAGGACTGTCTAGAATACACTGTGTCAAATGAGAGAGAGCCCTAGAAGTGACAATTGGTGTCTTGTCACCTAGAGTGTCACTGAGAGTGACAACCAGTGTGCTGGGCACTGGCTGGGAACTCCCATCCTAGGTGGCAGCACAGAGGGTGGAGAAGGGAGACTTTCCCTGCTGAGCTGAAGAGGGCAAGCATGGCAGCAGGACTCACAGTTGCTGGGAAGAGCCCGATTTGGGGGATTTCAGGAGGTCCTGTGGTGGGGCCTGGGCTCTTGCCTCGTATACTTGGAGCTTCTCCCTCAGGGTGGCCACCTGTAATCAAAGCATTGCAGCCCCTCAGAGCCCCCCAACAAGCACAGGAGGTGAAGTGTGGGCACAGAGCCCTGGCTGCGCCCCACTGCTCCTCTCTGACTCTCCAGCCCTCGTGCCGGGCACCTTGCCTCCCGGTCAAGCTCCCTAGGCGGGCTCCTCACCTCAGCCTGCAGTTGCTGGCAGATGGTGGCATACTGGCTGATGTGACAGTCCAGGCTGATCACGTTGCTCTTAAGCTGAGATGGGGGCACAGGAGAGAGACATGTGTGTTCATTCAAGGCAGCTTTTGGCAACCACTTCCAATTGGCAGGCACTGTGTGAGATGCTTCACTCCTGTGCCCCAGACTCACCCCCCTCCCAACTGGAGAAACAGATCGAGGAAGGGCAGTGGCTTGCCTGAGGCCACAGCAAGAGGCAGAAGGATGCTTTTGAACCCAAGACCCCTAACTCCCTGTCCAATACACTATCACCAGGCCAGGGGCTTCTGAGCAGCATCTCCAGGAGCACCAGGGCTCCCCAGAGGAAGCAGGCACAGTGCTCACCAGCCAGCACTGGGCCACTCCCTCCTGTTTCCCTCTTTTTTTTTTTTTTTAAGATTTTATTTCTTTATTAGAGATAGACACACACACACACACACAGGCAGAGGGAGAAGCAGGCTCCATGCAGGGAGCCTGAACCCAGGTCTCCAGGATCACATCCCCGGCCGAAGGTGATGCCAAACCGCTAAGCCACCGGGGCTGCCCTCCTGTTTCCCTCTTGAGACGATTCTGCCTCAGTCATCCCAGTGCTGTGATACATTACTCTCTTTTTTAAGTTTGGAAACTATACTGCCTCTCCCCCACCTGGAGTCTTCCCAAGGATGGAGACTATGCTGCTTCTATCACAAAGAATTTCCCTGAAGATGGAGGCAAGGGAACTTCTTCCCTGCCTTAGGGAAATACTTGCTCCAGGTACTAGAGGAATCTGTGTGGGTCCTGGCCTTCCTCCTCCTGCCCCCTCCCCCCCGCCAACAGGTTGGCCATTTCTGGCTGGCACATACCGCGAGCTTGATCTCCTTAGCGCGGTCGGCATACTTGAGGGTGTTGTAAGTGTCCTCATAGGCCAGACTGGAGGGGCTGACAGTAGCGATCATCACCGTGTGGCAGTTGCCCCCAATGGAGTCCTTGAGCAGACGGGTCAGCTTGCTGTCCCGGTAGGGCACATGAGACTTGCGGCCCTGGGGAGACAACAACAGGGCATGGGGCGAGGTGGCTGGGCTGGGACCCGGCAGCCTTTGCCTCAGGGCTGGAGGGAAGGACCCCGGGCTTCAGGCCCTCAGTCGCTGTCCAGAGGAGGACCCTGGGTCTGTGAGGTTTTACCTTCGCGTCGGCCAAGGCATTGAGGACATTGATGAGGGCCAGCAAGGAACGGTTGATGTTGGCACCCTCCCGAAGCCGCTCCCCCTTTGCATGGGTGCTGGATGCCCGCTCCGAACCAGCCAGGTCAATCAGGCTCATCTTGGCCACTCGAAGGGCCTGAGTCAGACCTGGAACCCGGTCCTGCTGCTTCACGAAGATCTAGGGGCAGATGGCAGGGGTGAGGTGGTGCTGCTGGGCATCAGAAGCCCTAGCTTCAGGCTCCGATCTGCCACCCCTCTCACCTGGAAGATGGCATGGGAGCGGGAGGAAGTAGCGTTGGCATCCGTCGGGTGCTGCGTGCGGTTGCAGTTCCCTCGGGTCAGCATCTCCAGCAGCTGCTCAGCTGAGGTTGGCTACAGAGGAGATGCCCAGGAAGGGTATTGTGGTCTTCCCCAACCAGGGCTTTTCCCCCAACAGGAAGAGCTGCTCTTCAGAACCGACATCACCCCCTTGCTACTGCCACCATCCCAGGATCCAGGCATCCCCAAACTGCCTAGTAAGAGAACCCGGGAGAACCGATGAGGCTGCTCCTGCCACCTGAGCCCAATTCCACACCTGGTGGAAGGAAAGTCCTTGCACCACCACACCCTTGTCGGGGTCCTCACGGATAGCAAGGGGCCCCTTGGGCTCCAGGAGGTCGTGGATCTGCTCATTGTACACCTGAGGAGAAAGGAGGCAAGGGAAAGGCCTGTGAGGGAGGGCCCTTCAGGAAATCTCTCCCCAGAGGCCAGGGGAGGGCTGAGGTGCAGGGCAGGGGAAGCATGACAGGACACCATGCCGGAGTAGCACCCTGCAGGACAACGGTAAGTGGCAAGGGCAGGACAAGCGGGTTTAGTTCCAATGCAGTCTCTCTCAGAGCCTCATCCTTGCCCTCCGGACTTCCAGTGGGCCCCAGTTGGCCTGCTTCCTACCACCCTCTCCCCACTCTCACTTCCCTTCCCCCAGCTTCGGGGCTTCCAAGAATGAGGGGTGAAGCCACCCAGGCCTGGGAGGGAACAGCCCTACCTCCTGGTAGCTGATGAGCACCTCGAATCGCTTCTCCTCCTGGTGGGCTTCAAGCCGCTTGTACAGTTCCATGGTCGTCAGGTACATGATGCCGGGGTCCCCCTCCCTCCCCAGCATGGTGTGTGTCTTCCCAGCCCCGGTGGCCCCATAGGCAAACACTGTAGAGGACAGAGTGGGGAGAGGGTGGTGGCAGGGCCAGATCCTCCTTCCCTACGGGTCCCCCTGTGCACTTCCCCCCAGCCCGGCCCTCCCCTCATCCCCAGGCCTGTTCCTTTGCCTTCCTGTGCACAGTTCCACCACTCCTCCCTACTCACACCCTGCCGTGTTCACGCTGCAGCTTTGGAGTTCCTGGGGCCTATGGCCCGGCTCCCCTGTGGGCTCGTGGATTCCAGGGCAAAGGGATCTCTGCTATGAGTGGGAGCTTCTGCCTTCCCCAAGGGAGCGTTCTCCAAGCCAGGCAGCTTCCTCTGCTGAAGGCCTGCGGTTCTTTCCCTCATGTCACTTACCTCAGCTTACAATCACACATTGAGGGGGTGATTTGCGATTAGATTAGCGTCTTCTCCCCCCTCTAGAATGCAAGCATCAAGAGGGCAGGAACATGGGTCTGACCTGCTGCTAGAGCCCAGGAGAGTGCTTCACACACAGGAGAATGAAAGGGGAACTCACAGGAAATCAAAGGGCACACACAGGAGAATGAAAGGGGAACTCACAGGAAATCAAAGGGCCAGAACCCTCCTCAGCAAGTACCCAGCTGAGGGGAAGGAGGGCATGTGTCACATGATGCATGAAGCCATCAGAAGGAGGCAGGGAGGCAAGGCTGCTACCAACCAAGGCTTTTCCTCCTCGGTGATCCAGCTCTCACCTGAGCAGTTGTAGCCCTGAAGGAAGCGGTCCAGAATGCTGTGGGTGGTGTGCTGGAACACGTCCTGTTGGGTGGCTGCTTCGCCAAAGACCCGGTCAAAGACAAATGTCAGGTCTTTGGCCTTCTTCTTGGGGCCATCATGGGTGCCGCTCCACTTCAGGCCAAGGAAGCCCCCATCGGGCTCCTCAGGGTCAAACACCAGCACTCGCTCATCTACCACCTGAACCACAGGCCGCCGCTGACTCTCCAGCTCCCGTGGGGTGGGGGGCCGGACCCGCACCACAACCTGCACCTTGCTGTCCTCCACCGCCATCACCATGGCGACACCTGGACAGATACAATGGAAAGGACCAATCTGACCTCAGGCCTGACAAGGTACCCCTTCAGCCTCACTAGAATTTGAGGGCCTTCTCCCACTCTTTCTCCAACAGCTGATCTCCCTTGACACCTCAAGAGAATGAGAATATTGGTGATAGTACCAATTACTAATAAATATCTTTCTCATTCAAAATGCCCCCCTTGGGCAGCCCGGGTGGCTCAGTGGTTTAGGGCTGCCTTCAGCCCAGGGTTTGATCCTGGGGTCCCAGGATCAAGTCCCATCGGGCTCCCTGCATGGAGCCTGCTTCTCCCTTGCCTGTGTCTCTGCCTCTCTCTCTTGGTGTGTCTTTCATGAATAAATAAAATCTTAAAAAACAAACAAACAAAAAAAAAAAAAACAAAGAAAAAACAAGATGCCCCCCTTGTCATATCCAAATGATTTGAGTTTTTCTGGAGGCCCATGACTGGGCTATTATGTTCCACTAATCTTTTTTTTTTTTTTTTTTAAGATTTTATCCATTTCTGTGACAGAGGGGGAGAGGGAGGGATGGGGGAGGGAGAGAGAGAGAGAGAGCACGTGAGCACACTAGCAGGGGCAGATGGAGAGGGAGGGAGAAGCAGACTCCTCGTTGAGCAGGGAGCCCAGCCCGACTTGGGGCTCGATCCCAAGACCCTGGGATCAAGACCTGAGCTAAAGGTAGCTGCTCAACCCACTGAGCCACCCAGGAGACCACTAATCTGTCCATTCCCTGTACCAATGCCACACTGTTCTGGTTCCAGTCCTTTACATTATGCTTATTTAGCAAGGTAAAAACCGCCTCTCCCCCCAACCACCACAGTTAGTCTTTTCTGCTCATAATTTTCCCAATTTTCAGGCATTTGTTGTTCTACTTGACTTTGCGAAAATGTTATCAATTCCATTCGCAACCTAGAACTCTACACCCTCCTACTCTATTACAAGCAGAATAGGATTGTTTACATATTTATTTTATATTAAAATTTTCCATGCAGGGCACCTGGGTGCCTCAGTGGGTTAGGTAGCTGACTCTTGATTTCAGCTCAGGTCATGATTTCAGGATCGTGGGATCAAGCCCCACATCGGACTCTGCACTTGGAGGGGAGCCTGCTTGGGATTCTCTCTCCCTCTCCTTATGCCCCTCCTCCCCTAAAATAAATAAATCTTAAAAAAAAAAACACTTTTCATGCTAGAATATGGCTATTGCCTTTTGTTTATTCAGATATTGCTTATGTTCCTAAGCTTTTATAGTTTTTCATCTCTTCAAATAGGTTCTGTAATTGTCTTAATATAATTCTCAAGTACTTTAATTGCTCTTATGGATGGAGCATCTTCCCCCATGTCCATACTGATTGTTAGTATGGAGAAATACAACTGATAATTACACATTTGTCTTCTACCCACCACCCTTAAACTCTGATTAATTCCAATTGTTTTTTATTAAAGCTTGTTGGTTCTTCTGAGTACACAAATATATACCAGAAAATATAAATATAAATATTTACCTTTTCTTTTCCACGGTTATACCAACTATTCTATTTCTTATGTATTGCATTCCCTAGAACTTCCAAAACAGTGTTGAACAATAATGGTGATAACAAGCATCCTTGTCTTGCTCTTGATCTTAAAGGAACTGGCATTAGCGCTTCACTATTTAGAAATTAGTTTTGGACAAATAGTTAATTAAAATAGGAATCCCTTCCACTTTTATTAACTTAGACTTGTTATTGGGAATGTCTAGAATTATATTTAATGATCTTTCAGCATCTCCTGATATACTTTTTAAAGATTATTTATTTATTTATTCATTCATCCATTCATCCATTCATTAGAATCAGAGACATAGGCAGAGGGAAAAGCAGACTCCCTGCAGGGAGTCAGATGCAGGACTCGATCCCAGGACCCCTGGATCATGAACTGAGCCAAAAGCAGATACTGAACCACTGAGTAACCCAGGTGCCCTTGCTGATATGTTTCTGTAGATTTTCTTTCTCCTTTATTTTGTTGATGTGGTAAATTCTTTGATATTATTCTTGGTATTGAGCCAACCATGCATTCTTGGGAAAAAATCCTACCCTGGCCATACTGAAGTTTTCCATTTTTAAATGGCTAAATGTGTCAACCTTCTCCTTTATGGCTTTTATGTCATATTTAAGAAGACATTCCTTCCCCAGGGTAATTCTCTTATATTTGTCTGATACTTTTTCTTCCTTCCATTTAGGTCTTTAACCAGATGGAATTCTTTTTTTTTTTTTTTTATGAATGAAGTTTCTAAATGATTAGTGATTTCCAGATGATTAGTGATTATATCATTTATTAAAGTGCACTCTTTCTCTACCAGTTTGAAATGGCACATTTAACAGAACTAAATTCTCATATGAACATGAATTTATGTCTGGGCTCTCCATTTTTTTCTACTAATATGTTCTTTTTGCAGTAACTTGCTGTGGTTCTCTTACACATCACCTTGTTCTTTTTCTTGACTGTTCTTGGGCGTCTTGTCTTGCATGTGATTTTGGAATCAGCTTGCAGAATTCTTTGAAAAAAAACCTTCTTAAGATTTTAATTGGGATTATTTCAAATTTATAAATTAATATGAAGACAACTGACATCTTTATAATATCACGTCTTCCTATCTAGGAACATCATATCTTTTTTCATTATTCACTTTATAATCCTCAGTAAAATTTCATGAGCTTTTCTTTTTCTTTTTTTTAAAGATTTTATTTATTTATTCATGATAGTCACACAGAGAGAGAGAGAGAGAGGCAGAGACGCAGGCAGAGGAAGAAGCAGGCTCCATGCAGGAAGCCCGACGTGGGATTCGATCCCGGGTCTCCAGGATCGCGCCCTGGGCCAAAGGCAGGTGCCAAACCGCTGTGCCACCCAGGGATCCCTCATGAGCTTTTCTCACATAAGTTTTGTCCATTTCTTGGTAAGTTTATTACTGGTTATTGTATAGTGCTTATTATATTGTGAATAGGCACTTTTTATTTATTTATTTGTTTGTTTATTTTTTAAAGATTTATTTATTTATTTATGAAAGAGAGAGAAAGAGAGAGAGAGGAGCAGAGACACAGGAGGAGGGAGAAGCAGGCTCCATGCAGGGAGCCCGATGTGGGACTCGATCCCGGGACTCCAGGATCCCGCCCTGGGCCAAAGGCAGGGGCTAAACCGCTGAGCCACCCAGGGATTCCCGAATAGGCACTTTTTAAAATTACATTTTCAGGGGCGTCTGGCTGGCTCAGTTGGTAGAACAACTCTTGATCTTAGGGTTGTGGGTTTGAGCTTTGTGCTGGGTGTACAGATTACTTGAAAGTAAAATCTTTAATGGGGCGCCTGGGTGGCTCAGTTGGTTGAGTGTCTGACTCTTGATTTCGGCTCAGGTCATGATCTCAAGGTTATGAGATTGAGCCTTGCATCAGGTTCATCACTCAGCAGGGAGACTGCTTGAGATTCTCCTCTCCCTCTCCTTCTGCCCCTCCCCCTACTCCTGCAATCTTTCTCTTTCTAAATCTTTAAAAAATAAAATATTTAAAATATAAATGAAATTGCATTTATTTATTTATTTATTTATTTATTTATTTACTTATTTATTTATTTACTTATTTATTTATTGCCAGGATATAGGAAAGCAACTGCTTTTTGGATGCAGATCTTGTATCTGGCCACATTACTGATCTCTCTAATAGATTGTCATTGATTCTCTTAGGTTTTTTTTTTTGTTTTGTTTTGTTTTTTTTAATTTTTATTTATTTTATGATAGTCACACAGAGAGAGAGAGAAAGAGGCAGAGACATTGGCAGAGGGAGAAGCAGGCCCCACGCACCGGGAGCCCGACGTGGGACCCGATCCGGGGTCTCCAGAATCGCGCCCCGGGCCAAAGGCAGGCGCCAAACCGCTGCGCCACCCAGGGATCCCTCTCTTAGGTTTTTCAATTAAATGATGATATAGTTTGCAAATAATGACAGTTACTTTCTATTTTAGCTCTCCTATATTTAGTTTCCTACCCTCCACTGCCCATTAGGAATGGGCATTAAATTTTATCAAATGCTTTTTTGGCATGGGCCGAGATGATAACAGTGCTTCTCCTTTAATCTGTTTTTTGGAGTTTTAGGGGATTTTTTGTATGTTCTATGCCCAATGTGGGGCTCAAACTCTCAACCCTGAGATCAAGAGTCCCATGCTTCACCAACTGAGCCAGCCAGGCACCCCATCCTTTATAGTCTGTTAATACAGGGAGTGATGTAGACAGATTTCCTAATGTTGACCTGGTAATGATTCCAAACACTTATTTATCTATTCCATCTTGTATTCTGCTCACACCTCTCTCCCTATTCTTTTTGTTTCTCCTTCAAGCCAGCCTACCAAGGGTAGAGTTGGAATTTCTGAAATGCAGGAGTCATGCCTATCCTGGAAAAGTTCAGCCCAACTCTAGGGATATATTAACAAGGCTAAGCAACAGGGGCTGTTTCCGGGGGACATGAATAGATGAACGTTTTCCCAGGAAAGATTGATCCCACTGACTGGACACAGGTCATTCAGCAAAGAAAAGTGAGATTTCTCCCTAATACTCTGGTAAATAACTCATCTTTTCCTTTGGGAATGAAGCAGAACTGAGCTGATTTGAAAGTCTTGTCCCCCACCCCCATGCTTCTTAATTCCTTCCCCACACAGAACGAGGGAAAGATATCAACCAATAATCATCTTATTACACTACTTAGTTCTTTTCCTGTCCCAGCCATCAGACTGCCATAATAAACATAACGGCTAAGTGCTCACTATGGCAGGGGCTGTTTTAAGCACCTTATGTGTACCATCTCCTTTTCAGCTCCATCGTAATCCCACAGGACAGATTCTATTGTTAGACTCATTTTTCAATGAGAAAATTGAGACAGAGAGGCTTAAGCAACTTGCCCAAGGTCCCAAGGCTAGTAAGTGATGGAGCTCAGTTCTAACGCAGGCGGTCTGGCTGCAGAGCCTGCTATACTACCTTATAATATTATATATGATGCTCTCATGATCACATTGTTGTAATATTCCCACATGTTTGTATAATTATAATCCCTTGTATGTAACTAGCATTATGTATTCTGCAAACAATTTCAGATATATGGACTGTACCTAATTTTCAACACCCAGAGAGTTTCTGTCTCCCATCATTGCATTCTTGCCCCCAGGGAGTCCCACTCTTGCACCCAGGGAAGCAAGGGCAGAGGGTTACCGGCCCCACCATCTAGGTCTACGCTGGCTGCCTTAATGGCAGTCCCAGCTCCCCATGGGGAGGGTTTGAGCTGAGGAGGAGCCACAGAGCAGCCTAACATTCTAAGCAGGAAATTAAAAAGGGCACTGGCAACGAGTGCACATAACCTTTCCAGTCCTCTCCTCTCCGCCTCCTGAGGGCCAGTGAGGCAGACTGTTTGCCTAATGAGATGTTTTCCTTCTTCCTGAGACTGTGCTGGGGGCACAGGGTGGGGGGTAGGGTGACACTTGGCAGGGCTGCAGGTGGGAGGCCTGGGTCCTGGTGTCTGCTCTGCATCTGACTGGGGTTGGGGAGAGCTCTTTCCAGCAGCCACACCACGTCAATGTCGCATTGGCTTCCCCCTTTTGAGAGCCGGAGAGAACAGCTACCGATCTGCTCCCACCCCAGGGGGATGGGGAGATTAATGAGAGAACGTTTGTCAAGTTTGCTTTGATCCTCGGTTGGAAAGAGCATTTCAGCCCAAACTACAAGGGAGATGATTCTTTAATAAGATCTTCAGGGTTCTGAGCCAGCCACAGTCACGTCCTGTTTCTAACCCAGGGCAGCTCATTAAAACCCAGAGGCTAGTTCGCCGCCGAGCTGGGGCTGGGAAGCCAAGATTCGGTTGTTTTGGGGGTAGGCTTTTCGGCTCACTCTCTTAGGGACAAGCTGAACAAGCCCCAACTCCTTAGAAGTTTCTGGAGAATTTCTGAGGACTTGAGGGGATCTGCCTGCAGACATTGGGAGCTAGGAAGGTGGAGAAGGTGCCTAGCCAATCGATGTTCTATTTTCATAGGGGTCGCTATAGCCCTCTTTGTCACTCCCTTACATCTCTCACACATGTGTGTTTCTTGTTCTCAGACTTCGAGAGGGCAGGACCCTCTTCTGATGTAGTCTGTGTACGCCAGATACCTAGGCACCAGATCCAACATGTAGTACGTGCTGTATGGTATTTGTCCTATGAATGAATAAGAGCCAGAGAAGAGCAGGGTCTGTATCCAAATGTTTAAAAGTTACTACTATCATAGCTAACATTTAGTGAGCACATAACTGTGCATCAGGCACTCTAACTGCTTTACAAATGGTGTCATTTAACTTCTACAACAATCTAATTCTCTAGTTATTTGATACAATTGTTATAATCCTACTCTACAAGGGAAACTGAGGCTCAGGCAGTCCTCTCCACAGAGGACTTGTCGCACAGATAGTAAGTAGCAAAGCCAGAACTTGACCTTATTCTGTCACCAGAGGCATCACTCTTCATCCTAGACTATCCTGCCCTCTAGCTGGGCTTTTGCAATTCCTACCTCCCCTTATTTTAGTATCCAGAGGGCAACTTCCAAAGACCACTGGTTCTTTCTAAGGGTGTGGTTTAGAGGAAGGAGCTGTATCCTTTTGCTTTTTATTTTCTTTTCCTTTTTAAATAGACCTTCATAAAGCTATAACTGATGATTATTTTGTTTCTTTCTTTCTAATTTTATTTGTATTTCTTTCTCTTGTCTCACAGTTCTGGCTAGGACCTCCGGTACGGATCTTGAATGTCAGTAACAATAGTGAACAGTCTTATCTTTTTTCTAATTGTATAAAGGGTGCTCCTATTACTTTACTTTTTGTTGGTTTAAGGAAATTTACTTCGATTTCTAGTTTACTAAATTTTTTTTTTAAGATTTTATTTATTTATTCATGAGAGATACAGAAAGAGAGGCAGAGACACAGGCTCCATGCAGGGAGCCTGACATGGGACTCAATCCCAGGTCTCCAGGATCACACCCCAGGCTGCAGGGAGCACTAAACCGCTGCGCCACCAGGGCTGCCCTAAAATTTTTAAAAAAGATTTTATTTATTTGAGAGAAAGAGCACAAGCAGGGGAAGAAGTGACAGAGGGAGAGGGAGAAACGAGCTCCTTACTGAGCAGAGAGATCGACGCGGGGCTCAATCCCAAAACCCTGGGATGGTGACCTGAGCTGAAGGCAAATGCTTAACCAACTGAGCCACCCAGGCACGCCATAACGATTTATTTATTTTGAGAGAGAGAAAGAGAGAAAAAGAGAAAGAGAGAGAGAGAGAGAGAGAGCTCACAGGAGGAGGGGCAGGCAGAGAAAATCTCAAGGAGACTCCACACAGAGCCCGAGATGGGGCTTGATCTCACCACCCTGAGATCATGACCTGAGCAGAAATTAAGAGCCAGTCAACTGACTGAGCCACCCAGGTGCCCCTAGTTTACCAAAATTTTAAAAATTCATGGATGGGTACTGACTTTTTATCGAATTATATTTCTGCTCCTAATGGGATATGTTTTCTCCTTTAATCTGTAAATGTGTAAATTGTATTTACAGTTAACATTATTGTTAAACCGTCTTCATATTCCTGGGATAAATCCCACTTGGTCATGATATGACATATATACATTATACATATATATGTATATGTATAATGTATGAATATATTGCTGGTTTCTGATTGTTAGTATTTTATTTGAGATTTTTACAACTACATTTTTAAAGGAAGATAGCTGGTAACTTTCTTTGATTATTGGTATCACAAAATAGACTGGAAAGGTTCTCTCTTTTTTAGGGAGAGTTTATATAAGATTAGAATAATTTCTTTTAAAAAATGTATTTATTTATTCAGAGAGACACAGAGAGAGGCAGAGAGAGGGAGAAGTAGGCTGCATGCAGAGAGCCCGATGCAGGACTCCATCCCAGGACCCCAGGATCACACCCTGGGCCAAAGGCAGATGCTTAACCATGGAGTCACCCAGGCATCCCAAGATTAGAATAATTTCTTTTAATTGCTCATAAATTGCTGGTTGCACTTCATGATGCTTTTTAGTTTTGTTTTGTTTGATGGGGAGAGTTTAAATGAATTCAGTTCCTCAGTGGTCCTAGATGTGTTCATAATTTCCATAACTTCTTGAGTCCATTTTGCAAAGTTTTTTTTTACTAGAAAATTGTCCAAAAGCATTGTCAAAAAGGGTGTTCCACTGAAGTCTCTCTTTCTCTTTAATCTCCAAGTAACTGAAGTTATGCCCCTATTTTCATTCCTAAGATCATTCTTCTATGTTTCTTTTCCTTATATCTTAATCAATATTGCCACAGGTTTGGCGTTTGTTTTTTGTTTTTTTTTTTTACTAGTCTTTTCCCAGATACAGCTTTTGGTTAAATTAATCCCAATACGCAGTAAAATTCTATTTCATTAATTTCTGCAAACTCCTTTAAAAAATTTCCTGGGCAGCCCCGGTGGCCCAGTGGTTTAGCGCCGCCTTCAGCGCAGGGTGTGATCCTGGAGACCCGGAATCGAGTCCCGCGTCGGGCTGCCTGCGTGGAGCCTGCTTCTCCCTCTGCCTGTGTCTCTGCCTCTCTCTCTCTCTCTCTCTCTCTCTCTCTCTCTCTCTCTCTGTGTGTGTGTCTGTCATGAATGAATGAATAAATAAATCTTTTTAAAAATTAAAAAAAAAATTTCTTACGCATATATTGTTGTTCTGTTCTAACTTAAAGGGTCAAAAGTGCCAAAGCTAAGAGGAGAGGCACCCTAGGCGCAGTAGCAGAAGGCATGGTTTTCTGTCATACAGATAATCTTTTCATTGCTCCCTTTATTCAATCAGGTTTACTGAGTGCCGCAGTAGCTAATTGACTGCGCTGGCGCCGCTCTGCAATTAGTTCTTCCGTATGGACGTGCGGAGAGGGTCTTTAGCCACTGCACACAGATGTGCAGGGGTCTCGGGTCTCCAGTTCTGGAGAGCAGGAGGACCTTTCACCCAGCGGACATGCAGAGGCCCGGGCCCCCTGCGGCTGCGTGGACCCAGTCCGGGTCCTGTACAAACTCGCAGAGGGATCCCGATCTGCATGCAGCTATGGAAGGAAGACCCGACCCCCCGCACCGCCCCCCCCCCCCGTCCCCGGTCCTGTTCCCAGGGACCCACCCAGGACCTGCTCCGTCTCCACGCTGCACCTCTGGGTCTGGCACAAAAGCCGCTTCCGCCCGGGGCGGCGGGCCCCACCTGCGCGCTGGGGCTGCGGGGCCGACTCCGCCGCGAGCCAGAACTTACCCTGCGTCGGCTCCCCGCCGCTGCCGTCGCCGCTCGCAGCCGGGCCCCTCCGCCACAGTCCCGAGCCCCAGGCCCCCGAGAGCGCGCCCCTCGCCCTCCGCCCCACCCGCGCCAAGCTCCGCTCCGCGCGGCGCGTTCAAATTAGCCGGGTCGGCTCATCCGCGCTTCCCATTGGTCACCGTCCCGGTCGCTGATTGGCTGTTTCCTAAGTAACAAAGTACAGCTCGGAGGTGGCGGGCGCTGTCAACTGTGCGCTTGCGCACTTGCTTCCCTTCCCGCTCGCTGTTTGCGGAGCTCGCGTCGGCGGCTGGCCGCAGCAGACCCGCGGAAACCTGTGTGGGGCTGGGGTACCGGGAAAGCGCGATCTACTCCCTCGTCCCTGGGACTGGGCTCATCGCCAGCTGCAGCAACCAGATGCCCAACATGTTTCCAAGTCTGTGGGGTAAGACGGCATCTACTGATCCAAGAGGGACTTTTTAGTCTCTGTCCCTCCAGGGGCTCTTCTCGCTCCGCGACCTTCCCAAGCATGAGCTTTGAGAAAAGCCTTTATGTGGCAAAGCCGGCGGAGACAGAAAATGGCAAGTCTACCTTTTTGACGGTGTCAGGAGTGTCATGGACTGATTGTTGGGCACTGCCGGGTAGCAGTGTCTCCATCCTTCTTGACCGTCTGCTGCTTCAAACCTCATGCTGATCCTCAACGCTGGAGGTTGTGGATGTCAGAGAGAGAGCCCTACACTGAAATCAGGAAGCCCAATTCCAGTCACTAGTGGCTCAATCACCAATTAGTCACTGCTGCTCTCTGTCAGTTTCCTCATCTATAAAGTGGGGTAAATATCCTCCCCTTCCCACTCACTTAACACGGCATGGATGTGAAAACCCTCCAAATCCCCAGCATTTGTAAGGGGATAGCTTTGTATGAATCGGATCAGGATAAAACAGGTGGTGGCTGCCAGGAGCCAATTACTCACCAGTTTTATTAACCTGATCTGTCCCCACTACTGGGACGATTAGCAGGTCTGAGGGTTGTGAGAAGGCAGAAGGCAAAATTCTCTTGGTGGACCTGACATCAAGATAATAGAGACAAGGGAATCCCTGGGTGGCTCAGCGGTTTAGCGCCTGCCTTGGGCCCAGGGCGTGATCCTGGAGTCCCGGGATCCAGTCCGCGTTGGGCTCCCTGCATGGAGCCTGCTTCTCCCTCTGCCTGTGTCTCTGCCTCTCTCTCTCTCTCTTTCTCTCTCTCTATCATGAATAGATAAATAAAATCTTTAAAAGAAAGATAATAGAGACACTATTTAATACCTGGCTGATTTGACCCACTCTTCATTCACCTATCTGGACTTCCCTTGCCTGCTATTTGATGGAATACCATTGTTTTGGGGAGAATAAAATGAGGAAATGATGCAAAAGTGCGGTTACTGTAAAACTACAAGAAAACCAGGGTATTGGGGCACCTGGGTGGCTCAGTGGTTGAGTGTCTGCCTTTGGCTCAGTTCCTGATCCCAGAGTCCTGGGATCCAGCCCTGCATCAGGCTCCCTGTGAGAGTCTTCTTCCTCTGCCTATGTCTCTGCCTCTCTCTGTGTGTCTCTCATGAATAAATAAATAAAATCTTAAAAGAACAAAAAAAGGAAAACCAGGGTATTCTTGCCATAAGCACTAACCAAGAGAAATACAACTGTTAAAGAATGGCTTCCTGCTTAAGAATCCCCTCCCCTCTCACAGGGATATGCATTTTAACAGAGGTTAGTGGTATGGTTGAGGGCTTGGGGCCCCCAGGAGTGACCAAGTGTACAGGTTCCTCTTGTGTCCTTGTCAGCCAGGTCTTGCCTTGGTTCAATCCTGGGTTGGACACTTGGCTGGAGAAGATGAGGTGAGGCAGGGAACAAGCTAAGTACTTTGCTTGTTACAAAGATTACAAATAATGTAACACATTGCAGACATCCAATGAAATGGTAATAGGTGTTCTTGTGTTCCTTCATCCAAGAAGTATTTATTGGTAGGCCCAGAAGATAGAGTGGTGAGTGATAAACACCACCTCCTACCTTCATGGAGCTTGCAAACTATGGGAGAAAATAGTTAAGCAAGTACTGAAAATGATGTGATATATGGGCTATAAGGAGAACAAAAAAGGGGGTCGGGGAAAGTGGCATGCAGGTTGGAGCAAAAGTTGCTGTTCCTTGGATCTCAGAAGCCAAAGAAAAAGAATTTTGCAGGTAAGAGAGTCAACGGAGCCTGTGATGCTAAGAAGCCTTGGTAGGGCCTGCCCAGGCCCACCTTCGTGGACACAAATGGAAAGCCCCTGAGCTCTACACTACAGATGCCAGTAAAGGGAGATTGGCCTGGCATTGGCCTAACTAGAATTTTGAGGCCTAGAACGCAGATGTGAGGGTTAGGTGAAGAATTTTTACTTTGTATGGTAGCAGATGATTCTGGGATGATATGACCAATATGTTGTGAAAGGTGACAGGCTCTCTGCTCCTGTGAGGTGTGTGGATATCTCATGATCTGCAGCTGGCAGGATCACCGACCCTAAGTACTCAGAGGAGGCTGAGGGGAGGCACAGCATCTCACCTGCACTCTTCTCACTGCACATTCTTTGCACCTAGGTGTGGCATTTGCTGCTTCAGATACAGATCAATTTTAGAAGGTCCTTTAACCAAGTCCAAGACATAATTCAAGGTCTGGCCTAGCATGGAAGTCAAGAATGGAAAGTGTCTACTCTGTTTATCAACAAGGAGGTTATAGGTGGCTTTGGCAGGAGCAGTTTCAGACAAGTGGCAGCAGCCAGAGTGGAGTGGGAGGTGAGAAGGTAGTAACTATTCTTTTTTTTTTTTTTAAGATTTTATTTATTCATGAGAGACACAGAGAGATAAAGAGAGAGAGGCAGAGACACAGGCAGGGGGAGAAGCAGGCTCCATGCAGGAGCCCGATGTGGGACTCAATCCCAGGTCTTCAGGATCAGGCCCTGGGCTGAAGGCAGCGCTAAACCGCTGACCAACCCGGGCTGCCCAGTAACTATTCTTTTAAGGCATCTGGCTGTCAAGGGGAGCAGAGGAAGGAGGCAGAGGCTAGAAGGAAATGCGGGGTCAAGGGAGGATTTTTAAAGGTAGAGATTTAAATGATGACGAGAAAGAGCTGATACAGAGTGAGCAGCTGAAGAGTAAAGAGAGGTGGGATTATGAATTAAGTTAACCCACCGAGAAGTTGGGAGATACAGTGGTCAGCCATTCTGATTAGGCCAGCTGGGGCTGAGGGGTTTACCAGAATATAGGACTTTCAATTTGAAAACCAGGAAGTCTTGCGCAAATAAGGACAGATTTGGCCATCCTGGTGGGAGGGCTTTGGATGCAGAGCACAGTGGCAGGCTGAGCCCTGGAAGCAGGAACAGCATTTCCATGGAGGCAAAAAGGAGTAGGAGAGGAGAGGACTAGATGCAGAAAAGTTTGTGGATTTTACCATAGAGGTTGGTGGGAGGTAGGACATATAATCACCAATTGGCTGGTTAGCTTTCACATTCCACCTCCTGCCTTTGCTGCCAAACCTGGCACACGATAGGTACTCAATAAAGCTGGCTGAAGGAATTAGTGAGTGGATGAGACCCGAGGTAGGTGTCACAGGTTGGGTACTCTGCGGAGCAGACTGTGAGGTGAAGATCGGTGTGCAGGAAGTTTACTCGGGTTTGCTCTTGGAACAAACACATGTAGAAGAGAAAGAGGGAAGCAGGACTGGGCAGCGAGGGACACTGAGCCGGGGGCTCTGAAGCTGGGAAGAGTCTTCTGAGTTGTCCTGAGTATAAAGGCTCTGCTAAGGGACCAGGCCTTTAAACCTCCATGTTGATCTGTCACTGTAAACAGGCTGCCTTGAAAAGTGGCCAGGACACTGGGTGAAGCAGCTCCCATCAGCAGAGGCCATCCCTGAAGGGGGCTGCTAGCTGAGAGCCACTTGGTAGCAGCTCCTTCAGCAGCTGGGGAATAGAGCTTTCGGTCTTGAGAGAGACCTGGGCAGTGTATCACAGCGTCCATCACCAGGAGGTAGTTTAGAAGTGTGACAGATGTTTGAATCGCTGCTATTATGGTAGAACGGTTATGTGGCAGGCACAGTGTTATGTACTGAGTCAGGCATTGTTATGTGGATGATGCTCTCAGTATGGCCTTGGAGACCAGCAGATGACCGCTGGGGGAGTTCAGGAAGCCTTCATGGAAGAGCAGGCAAAGAGCTGGGCTTTGAATAATGAGCAGGTGTTCTGCATGCAGTGGAAGTAGCCTCGAGCCTAGCCAATCCATCCTTGGCTCTGGGCAGGCAGGAGAGGTCTGTCACTTGCCTGGCCTATGCAGTTGTCCTGATGCAGGCTGGGGTCCTCACTCAGGGAGCAAAGGGGCCTGTGTCCTGGGGGCCTGGGAAGGAACCCTAAAATTTGCCCTTCACCATCTGGGGAAAGGCAGGAGCCCTGCCCCTGCACAAGCCGGCCAGGCAGCAAACATTGTGGGATGGGGTGCCAGGTGACCTCATTGGGGAGACTGCTCTGGCTGGGAGGGAGATTCAGCCCTTCTCCTACTCCAGAGAATGGCCAGTCAAGAGGGCTGTTCCGGGAAAGGGTAAGCCATGTGATCTTGCATGAATTAATTCACCCTCTGTACCTCAGTTTTCTTGTCCCAAAAAATGGGTATGATAATGGTAACTACCTTGTGGGGTCATTGTGAGGCTTAAATGAATGAATGCATTCAAAGTTCTTAGAATAGTACATAAGCTGTTCTTATAACTTAGGAGCTGATACAGAGATGAGGGTGTATGTCGTTCCTCTAGCTCCATTATTTCCCAAGCCCTTGGATGAGAGAAGAGAAAACTCTCAGCAACTTGGGTTCTTACCCCCACCAACCCCATCCCCAAGAGGACAGCTTCAGCAATGACTGGGGGAGGGGTTGCTGGGGAGGGAGACAGGGCTGAGATTTCAAAGGAACAGACACTTGTAAAACCTTTCCAGACATTATGTAAGTAATTGTAAGCCTCCACTCAGCCCAGCTCCCTCAGAGTAACCCTTCCTGACTGTTTGGGAAGCCTCCC